GGCGTTGGGGCTAGTCGCGAAATGGTAGTGTGTTGCGAAGATAAAGCAAGTATCGTGGGCAGCGCACAATAGTAGTAATCCATACACAACAGGGTCTTAGTAATCATACAAGAATCAGGATTAAGTATAGACCGAATACCTAGACTGGTACACCGAAAATCGCCGAAAGTGCTCGGACACGATCCTGGTTGCAGCGCTTGTGCGTAACGAGCGCCACGGGGTTGGTTGCGAAACGGTAGGATCTGTCGGTGCGTCACACTTGAAGATGGAAAGCAGACTTCAGACGTTTCGTTTCGTTTGAGCGCGAATCCGTCAAAGCTGTTGAGCGGTGATGGATCGTTTGTAACATAGTACAGATTGGTCTGTAGCATGCATTGTCATAGGCTCGTCTAGACGCTCAATATTGTCGGTAGTTTGCTTTTTAGGAAATGTGCGATTTGTTACTGGCTGGTTGGGACGCTGATTTGTTCAATCTCACTTCAGCCAACCCCGTTCGTTCGTACGTGATGCTCACTGGACCTTTGACGCGGGATGGCAGAGCTATCTAGACCGCATGATTGTGGATAAACACAATGATCGCCCGCGACAAGACCCGGGTTTCATGAAAACCATCCCCACACACTGCAAATAGACCCACGAGTTCTGGAAGCTTTGACCTACTTACACTACTGTTTGTCCGAGGCTGGCAAATGGCGATTGTGATGTCGTGATTGTGAACTTGCTGTGTTCTGGGCATGTTTAGGAGAGCCGGAGGCCTTGTACTACAATTACTTATTACGCACGCTTCATTGGATCTAGAGCAAGCACCAAGCTACTTAGCATGTGAGCATAGCGTTGAGAGTGGCATACGCCTTAGGAAACGGCCCTTCTTGCCGCCAAGTCATGAGCCGCCTCGGCCAAATTTCTACCGCTAACCATTTCATCCGGGGAAACTGTGGCGCAGAAGAGCCGAGCACATTCGCCTCACCTCGCTACGTTAAATGGCAGCCTCCTTTCATCAGCCAACATCACCCCGCGTAAGCTAGATAATAACACGGCGGATATTCTTATATCCTTTAGAATAACTTACTAAGTAGTGGTGTGCACTAAGTACTTAGATTAGACTAAGCTACCTATGAGAGACGCCCTACGGGTAGGCTCTCGACCAGAGTTATCTAGTGAGCTGAAGGTCTAATTCTTAGCAATTCTATTGGTCTTTAGTAGCAACTACTGGGAAGGTTAGAGAAGTACTCGGGAAATTTCGTGTGTAGCACCGTTGGTCTCGGCAAAACGCGAAAACTTCTCGTAGATGAGCGATTCAGTTATGGGGATAGTAGGTTTCGGCCCTATGGGTGAAATCCAAGTAGGTCAAGATCAGCACAATTTGTAGCCGAGTGTCAGCTGCTAGCTCCCGGGGCTCGAAATACATACTGCTCGGAGCGGTCGGTTAGAGTGTAACAGAGGGCTCGGCACTTCGGGATAACGTTGATCGTTACTATACGGCACTGATATACGGCTCGAATATAGCCAGCAAGTATTGATATACGCAGACGTATCTCTAATAGCATCCAAGCTCTCGGGAGAACCGGGGTAAAGAGCCATGGAAAAATTCTTCGTCTTTGGGAAATTACACCTTCCTACGCCGAAAGTGTGTACTATGTAGGTATTTGTAAATTTTATCTGGGGGAGGGGCTGCTCCGTTATCCACTTGCAAGGAAGAAGTAACACATTACTTACACAGAGTTTACACTACACTCCTTTAGGATAAAAAACGTGGTGTATGGAGCTCGTTAGGAACCAAGGGGAGAGTCAGTTCGTGTAGATGCCAAGTAGTCTACTGGAAACGGGATGGGCTCGGTCGGGCTTGTCCTAGATAGGTAGGCAGTCAAGCCTCATTAAGAGATAAGTTACTTGTAATAACTTATAATCCCTACTATTGCGTGCATTTAGCATACTTTGCTGGGGTCTCATAGCCGTCGGGAAGCACAGAGCGTATTCCGCGGTCAGACTGCGGCCTCTTGGCCTGGTAACGGTTATCTACTAGGTAACAGACAACACTACTTACACTAGGTCACCTACTTGTAATTGTCCTAACGAGATGCTTCTTGTGGATATCTTCCCCGGACGATGATTAGTATTATTAACGCCACACTAGTACAAACTAGCTGGGTGGTGAAGACGATGGTAGACACACCGGAGCATACTATTGTTGTTCTAGAAAGAAATAGGACGTTTTGGAAGGACTGGAAGCTTTGTGACATGTCTACCTATTGAAAGCTCGAGACGAGGTTGCTGGATGGATGGGGACCGAGATACCTACACTACAGGCAGACATGGGACATGACATGTGTTGGTTAGGCTGCATCTGGCGTTGCGGTAATGCGAGGGCTCAGTTTCCATCAGCCTTAAGGAGCGCCCCCGATCGTGTTCTTTACATTACCTACAGCATGTACGATACTCGAGGCGTCAGCTATTTGCGACCTGTCATCACGATGACGAGCAACTTGTTGCGAAATGACTATCGGATAGCGCATCAACAACGTGGCATCCATGATTAGCCTCCCCGGAGCACCGGGAAACGGGCAAGGAGGTGACGTTCGCGCACACATTCCGTGGATAGATTACAATTCCATTATCCTAATATATCGGCGCGCCACCCAGATCTATACTTACAGAACAAGTATATGACATGACATGACTTTGGGGGCGGGACGATGCTTCCATGCGCCCCGCGCAGCTACATAGTATATCATAAGGCGGTGTTGGGAATGGTGTTACATCTGAGTCAGAATGGTATCTCCTATAAGGAGACGCACACACTCACACACCCGTACAACTGGCGTTTGCGAGCAAAGGCCGAGGTGGTAAGCGAGAGCGTTCACTGGACAGGAAGACGACCTATACGAGCGGCGTTCCGCGCAGCGGTCTGCGACCGACGTGCGTATTGGCTGCAGAAGACCCGACTTGCGGTCAGGAATGAGTCCAACGGGAACCTGTATCCTCACACCTGTCTCTTCTAGGCACCAAGACATGAGGACAACCTGCAGTAATTTGCGACCTGATGCTACACTTTGTGATGATTCATTTGTTTAGCCCTTTGTTGTTCATCATGGCCACCTTCTGGACCATCGCAGCAATGTCGGTAGCGCGACTAGGGAAGACGCCGCAACATATACCACCCACTACTAGTCAGTACCGGCGTTGAGGATGGTGTGCGCTGAGTCGCTGACTATCTACATCAAGTACCTACTTACCCAGGTAGGGAGGTAGGTAACTCTTATCCGGTAGGCCGGGTGCTGGTAAGGGGAAAAGGATTCACCCAGGATGTGAGATTGTTACCCCGTCTCGCCAGTTCGTCAAAAATAGCAGTGGCCAGACAATCCTGTAATCCCACGTTTTTGCTCACCACCCTCGCCATCCATTTCCCTGACTCGAGATCCTTGCTGACGGAAATCCCGCCCGCGAGGCCAAAAAGACCTAGCATATTAATTTGGCGATGACAAACACACGCGGGCAAGCATCCGGGTCATCACCACCAAGAAATCCTGATTTCTAATAGTCATCTATGATGCGTGGAAATGTGTGTGAATGCTGCCGCCCTGGAAAATGCGATGCGATGCGCCGCGCCTCACAGCACAGCCGATCCCGGCAAGGGCTTGTTCAACAAACAGCACACAATCCCAAGACAGGCTGGCAGGGGAAAATATCAGGAAAAACTTGGAATGGGATGTGTCGCATATGATGAGTGAATAATGAGTGATTGGGGGCTCGGGGGGCTCAACTCCAGAAAAGCACCGAAGAATGTGCTAGCACAGCCGTAGCGTGGAAAAAGGAGTTAGTCCAACTTATCCTAAAAAGGAATTTCCCTTTCTTGCGATGGGGATGGGGGGTTTTTAGGTGTGAATATCCGGGCAGCAGCCGAGAGACACTACACCACCACACTCCAGCAAGCACACTACTGCCCAGTAACATTGGATGTGTTGGAAAAAAGCATCCCTATGGGGCTGGTAACAAGACGGGCTTGCGTAGTGTATTTACTTATAGGTAGGATGAGTGTAGTAACTATGTGTGTACCTCACACACACACACACACACACAACGCACTTATATCGAGGTATCATCCTTCGCGCCGCACCAAGGGATGATATCATGTAACCGTCAAAGTCACCGGTCAGAGGTTGGTTTCGGGGGAGGCTTGCGTTACAAGCCCGAGGGATGCGGTCTAATTTCAGTATCTAGGGAGGTGAAATAAATTCCTCTTAAACAAGTAGGATAGTGAGACGAAGCAACACTTTTGCCACTTATCTATACTCGGGGTTGATATCCGACTACAGGGGCTTACTGTAACCAGGATATAGCGTCGAAGCTCGGGAGAACCGTAAGTGCTATCCTTGCAATTTCGCGGTTGGTGATTACCAGCATCCGCGTTACTAGGATACGCAACACCTGTACATATCCGGTTACGCGTGCTATTTTGACAAGCCCGGGGAGCCATGATCCGGTGGGCCGCGGTGCTGCGAGCAAGAAATCTGCTTTTGACATTTCATTTTCTTTTCTGGGAGGGTATTATAATTTGCGACGGAGTTGGCAATGCCATAGCGTGTATCAAAAGCCAACAGCGCACGCGTCCTGGACTTCCTTGGCCCGGACCTGAGTGATAAAGTCGCACCCCTTTCGGCTGGCTGGGAAGGGCACCGTTAGCATGGAAAGGGTAAAAAACAACAACCAATGTATTTAGCATTTACCATATTTCAGAAACAGAAGGGATCGAGTTGGCTTTGTAACGACACGATGTCATTGGTCGCGGCTAACGGTCCCGGGCGGGAGGAGAAGGAGCACAACCAAAACCAAGCTGACTCTGTCCTTGCTCAAGGCGGTCTGAGCTGACTAGTGCTTGGTTACATGAAAGGTCTGCGACCATGACAGGCGGTCAGCCAGCGAGGATGGGAGGGCATGGGGACGGATTGGATGGATTTTGGGGGGCCACGGGACGTGGGGAATCATAGTGTACATGATGTACACCACACCGCAGAGTCCTCCGAGGGATGAGCTCGGGATGAGGGATCATGGGGGGTGTGGGAGATTGTGTCAGACGCCGCGAGACGGGCAGAGGGCGGGCTCTGGGGGTCAGCTAGATGCCTCCGGGGAAGGGAAATCTGGAAAATTGTCAGAAGCCTGGCCGTTGTCCACACCCCCCCTGTCCGTATGAATCATGGATCTAGTGTTGTCTGGAGACCCTGACTGCTCCCTGCCTAATCCACAAGGTACGTACCCTCCCCCCGTTGCCCATGGTATTCATAGCTCACATATATATCAGGCCTCATCTCGATCCCACCGGCTCGGTCCCCTTCCATGACTTCATATATTGACCATGAATATTCTCGTGTTTGAACCTAATACTGGTTTCTACCCGCTATCAACCCTATAATAGCAGCATACCAAACAGTCGGGCACGTCTAGTCCAGCTCCTATAGCTTGTTCTAGCCTACTACGACTTACACGCGCATACGAACGACAAGCCGCATAGAAGCAGGCTTCTACCATTACAACGAAACCGACGACACTATCGATCGAATTTGTGGAGAAAGAGAACGACCAAAATGTACAGTCCATACGGTTCATACAGCTCTATGAGCTCGAATGCTCAGCCCCTAGACATCGCACCGAGCAGCTACCTCTCTCGCGATGCTTCATATCACGCTAGCTGCGCCTTTCCCTCATGGCCTCAACGATCCTCACTGATGGACTCGGCTCGGGAGGAGCGCGTCTCATCCTACATCACTGACGACGAACTCTTCGAGGAGTTTTCCCTCAGTGACGACTCCCACAGCATTTCCAGTGGAAGCAGCACAGCTTCCGCCTCGCCGTTTATCAGTGAAGAAGAGCTCCTAGAACTCCAGCGCCAGAAGATGGCCGCGCAGCGCGAGGCCATCAAGCACCTTCTCAACGAGAAGGAGCGCCGCCGCCAGCAGTACAAGAAGACGCGCAAAAACAGCGGCAGCTCCAAGAAGGGCACCAGCCCGAAAAAGCAGGATCAGATGGCGCCCATTACCGAGGCCGGTGAATGAGAGGTGGCAAAGCATTACTAACGACGATATGACAGCATGACTGTAAGTTGCATTGCTTCCGTCATTGTCGCACCACGCAGCCACTAACGGATCAATAGATTATGATGATTATACATTACATTACAGCGGAGATACCCCCAGCATTGTTACAGAGCACACGGCATCACATCATATACGATACCCCCCATGATACCCTAATACGCCATAGAACGATTTGAGACGCAGCATCGGAGCTTGCGCCGTGAAGATTTGCACGTGCAGCAGTTGCCTCGATTTGGACGGTGCTGCGACTTAATAATTTACACATCATGAGAGGATGGCAGCTTCAGCCACCCAGAGATCGGGATGGGAATGACCACGGCTGCCTACAGCACACATGACATATTTTGGTGTGTGTTGGTGAGGCGGGCCGTGGCACAGCTACTCTCACCCCTATGAGTCATCATGATACCCAACAACAGTACGAGGAGCAGGGCTAAGTCGCAGATGAGGCGCGGCCCCGATTCGGAAGAATTACAGTTGTCTCAGCCACCTTTTTTGTTGGCTTGAGTCTTTTCTCGATTTCGATCGAGAAGATGGACAACACGTACCTACACATGTATCCCCCATATGCAGGGTCCGGTGTGTTTTTTTTTCTCTCATTACTACTATTATTACTTTCCTTTTCGGATGGAGGGGCGATGAATCATCCCAATGTTGGAAGCTTGTTACGAGCGGTGAAGATAATGCAGAGCGTGTACTGCGATTGGACAGAGAGCACGGCGGGACCGACGATGTCGGAGGCCCGACCGGATCACCGCCATGGGGGGGCGTGTTGATAGTCTGGCGCCATTGGGCAGGAATGGGAATACTAGTATGGGAGGGGAAAACTGGAATGGGGAAAATGTGTTGAGGAGGGGGTGTTGTATGGGAGGAGTAACTAGGAGGAGGATAAGGTATACGGCATGGCCCCGGACGGACCCCCAATTGGCTGTCTCGGGTGACATGGTCGGCCGTGATACGCTGGAAGGGAAAACACTTGGCGACTCGGTGAAGGGGAAACACAACACGTCGATGAACCAGTTGGTTCCGTCCCAGTACGTGTGCGAGGGTTCGAGCATTGGCGATGCCCTATGTCTCCCTCCCTGCCTACTCCAGGTGAAGGAAGTGTGTGCACAACATGAAATTAATTGAAACCATATCATACTCCCCCAAAAACAATACAAAACCATCTAGTTCCATAAGCTTCGTCCTCCCAGCCATGTCTCATGTGAATGCTTCTCTCGATCCCCATGTGAAACATGTAATTACCGGTATCCTGGACACCGCCATTTGATTTTTCCATCTTTTTCTGTTATACTTTGACTCACCTTGCAAGCAGCGCACACATTCACCTCGATGCGAATCCCGATGGTGGCTGAGACGATGTCTCGTTGGTGTTCGAGTGGTTCGGGCACTCGACGGGCGGTAAACTGTTGTACCGCACGCCAACAACGCGCCCAACCCCGCACTTAAGATCTACGAAATGCGGCTTGAGACTTACATATTGTGGTCTAGTTTGCTTTTTGCTTATTTGTCGTGATATCTCGATACGGTAACCCTACGCCGCTGTCTCGGTTACGATGGTCGATATTAGTGCACACTGAGCCAAGCCAGTTAGCAGTATCAGCTGCCGGGCTAGACTAGGACGCTGCTATCTAGCATGTCACAATATGTCTGCTATCCGTTTTGACGGGAACGCATAACACAAGCTCATACCAAGGGCTTTGCGCAATTTCACAGCTGATTCTGCGTCCTGCGAAGGGATGGGCGAAGGGAGGATAGCTACGAAGAGGAGGAAGAGGAGCTCGGAAAAGAAACCCTTACCCTAGTATAGTGTCCGATGGGGGTGGATCTCATCCGTGGGGTAAGAGGCATTATCTTAACTCGGCTTCAACTTTTACCTCATTACTTACATAATGTAGACCAATGATCAATATATCCTATCGTGTGATACCGGCATGAGAGCAGAGAGCGAGAGGGGGAACCCTCACTTTCTTTCCTCGGCATCATATGTTTCTCATCAAGGTGGTGGTGGATTGACAGATACATATGGTGACGAAAGCTCGGAGAGCTCGGGTATTAGATAATTCAAGGCGTCGTCCAACGGCGGCACTATGGCGTTATCGCAAGCCCCTCCGTAACGTTCCCTTTGGCAGATCTAGACACCTCTGGTAGGTGGCAAATCCCGGGACTTACAGAGCCGACGAGGACGATCCAGAATGGTAAGTGGGTGGTGGATTGTGGGGTTGGGACCGGGGACAAGTCGTAAAGCAGGTAGATCAATGAAGCTACCCGATACCTACAGAATGGCAATTGTCTATTCTATCTCATGATTGTCATTTGTCCGTAGGTCCCGATATTGCCTTGGTTGGCTCGTGTTCACCACTCGACACTGGGTTTACTGCTCTGTTGAGCTGCTCGCATGTTGAATAATCAGTAAGAGTCATTCAGAAGACCCAATACCTCTTTCACCACGCTGTTATACTAAGCTGATTGGTGAAGCTGACATGTTGAATATCGTTGTATAGGTCCCGATGTGCATTCCACAAAGCTGTGGCGGCGTGCTTATCACTTGATAAAAAGCTGCACGGTAGCCTGTTAAACCAGCAATTACGATATTGAGGCGCTCTGCGAAGCCAGTGAATGATGTTCTTGTACCTACCTCAGGTTGATTAATGGATTGTATGGCTGGACTCGCCTACGCGTCTGAACCAAGGAAGAAGGCTGCTATAATCTCATGATGAGATATGTTAGGCTGATGGTCAGTGCTTCGCGACGTTCCACACGGAGCCGAGCCCTTTCACAAACATCAAGCGATTCAGCCCTTTCACACCTCCACTGCTTATCTTACTTATGAGGCAATCGCCGCAGGCGAAGAAAAACACAACATCAAGAGGAACACATTAGCGGACCACGGAAATGGAGGTGAAGAGAGAGGTTTATCAGTGTAATACAAGCCCTCGAGTTGCTTGTCGGTGTGAATGCTGGTCTCATCTTTGATGGGCACACCACTTCTTCTCTCTAAAGTATGCAGCCATTCTCCATCTCGCCATACCTAGCGGCACGGAAGGCAGGGTTCATTTCCCGGCGCCTTTCGTGTTGGGCATCATACACAAGAGGTATGTGTGTATGCTTGATTGTTGGTTGAGCATTGATGTGGTAGCACATGGACAAGGTGATGAAATGCGAACGCACAGGGAACCAACTCTTACTGCAACCAAGCGCCCCTTCGGCGATTACATACTAGTAGCCTTGCAGATGCTGGCTTGTCAGCCCAGCGTAGTATTCGTCATTTTACTTCCACGTCCGTTGGTCCCGTTAAGTCCCTCGGTAGGGAAGCGTGCCAGCCAGAACACTCATTAGAGGAAAGGTGTGCCCAGACTGGGCTTTAACAGAAGGTCCCTGTCCAAGCTGGAGCGATGCCATGAATGAGGATCAGGTATACCGTACTACGTATACTTGATGAGATGACGAAGGGTGGGAAATGCTACCCTGTACTTATGTAGTGTACAGCAGCGTCCCTCCCTCCTTTTCCTGATACATCGTGTGGGTGTGACAGCAGGACCCATTATGCAAGGGGTTGGTCACCAACTTCTTGGGATTGCTCGCAGCATACTTACGAAGTAGAGTCTATCTATGGCGTAGGATGGCGGTGCTCACCATGCGGTCATATAACAATCGGGGGTGGCTTGTCACCGGGATTACTATAAAAGCCGACCCGGCTGCAACTAAGAGCTGAATATAGTGTCGAGTTTCCTGAGTCCATTCACCCGTCCCCATCCCTATAGAGGATGCAGCATAAGCAGTTGGTATAGCATAAAGCATGTAATCGTCCGATATCGCTGTGAATCGTTGTGAACCGCAGGGAACAACCCAACGAGGCATGAAGCATCGAGTGCTGAAATACCACCCAGGACAGGTTAACCCATTGATGACTGCATGACTTTCTCAATTAAACCATGGGAGAATCAATTGATGCCAATTTGAGTGCAGACGTCAGTTCCTGAGCGCACAGACTTCGTGAAAGTGCAGCGTGATCAGTGATAGGTTTGGATAGTTGGAAATCGCGAAAGCACTCCGCCTCAGGGGCTTTTTGATTTTGTAATGCGCACATCTCTCTCAAGACCGGTTCTGGTATAGCATCGAGTCCAGGGGTTGGGTTACCTGGTAGACTATCTCCAGCAGATCTTCAACCAACGACACGGCAATCATTTATGCGCGAGAATGGAAGAACCACCCGACTGCCGGCCGCCTCAACTTACCCCTAGTTACCGCTTCTTATGATGGGTCTCGGGCTACTGGGTATGCAAAATGCAGCCAACATGGGCAAACGTAAGAGGAGCGAGCCTTCACGGGCATCTTAAACAATACCAAATAAGGGGAGCAAATAAGAGGAGCATCGCGCACGCACGTCTACTTCGTTCCGGAAGATTATGTTCTGATGCGGGAGCCCCCAATGGTAAGTACATGGGTAGGTCAAGTTATGCGAGCGAGGGAACCGCAGCATATGCCACCAACCGTCCGCGGAGTTTGGTATCTATGTGGGAGCTGTGGTGTAATTGTGAAATTGAACCTCAATGCACACTACGTCGACCGTGTCGGCTGTCCACGTCGTCGAAGAACGGATGAAGCTTCTGAATACGACCCTCGAAGGGACGGCACCGACATGGGCAACACGGCCATGGCAAATGACAAACAGAAGCCAAACGCCGGAGCGACGATAGCAACGGCGATGGTGACAGCAACGACACCGACACGACCAACAGCACCAACAGTTAGCGAGGAGAGCGTCAGACGAGGTGGGGCATTCGCACGATCTGCTGCTACCCCAGCCCCAGATATAATCATTGTGGACAGAATTAGATCTGGGAAGTGGAGTTAGAGTTGCAATCAGACGCCAGAGGGGACTAGAGGCTGTTCAACCTATCTAGACCCTGGTCTGCTCGCTGGCTGGCTGGCTGACTGGCCCTGGAGAATGCATTGGGGTAGGATAGCACGAGCACAGGCACAGGCACAGGCACGGGCACGGCACGAGCCAGGGTAGAAGAACTGCTGCAGAGCGAGGCCTACACCATGGACCAATTCTGGGCAGGGGAAGATAAGATGGGATCCCTTGAGCTGAATATGTTTGACGTAGGCAGTGGTCGTGATACCTTGGGTAGTCGAATGTTGGAAAGCAAATGGTTGTTGGTGGTTAGTCGGTGGTGGTCGTTGTGGTGCGTGCAGTAGCGGGCGGGCAGCGGGAGAGATGGAGTGGCTAGCGGGCCAGAGGCAGGCACAGTAGCGCAAGTACAGAATACCTACAGCGTGCATGCAGCCCAGACGGACCCAGATAGCGCAGAAGGGCAGCGGGCGACGTGGGAACCTGGAGGGGGCCCCCTGCCTCGTCTCAACCAACGAGAACCTCAGTCACGCCTTTTGCCGCCGAGCCGAATGCTAGGGACAGCTTCGCGTCCAATCATCCGCCGAGCCCGACAAGACCCCCTGCGATCCCTGCCATGTCTGAGCCCATCTCGAGCCAATCTCTGCGTCCATCTGCCTTTCCACCACCGACGGCGCTACCCAAGTCACGGCGAGGAACAACGTCCTGGCACATCCCTCGTTGACTCGTCCATGCCTCCAGCTGCCCTGCCCAACCACAGCGCGCCGTCAGCATCTCGTCGAGGGAACAATGGGGACTGCAAGATGAGTCGAGGCACAAAGGGCATTCTGAGGGGACAAAGGGCCCCGTCGGCCTGTTTGTGGCCTATTGTCGTGCTCGCCTCGCTTCCATGGGCCCTCCCCGTAGGTATCCTATCCCATGTGCTCGTCGTGCAGCGTGCAGCGAAGAAGCATGTCGAGGGAGCAGCGGTTAAGACGTCTCCAACGCCGAAAAGAGACGCCCCCATCGAGGCTGGTGCGAATCCTCAAACTCGCCCCCGAGGCCACTCTACCTGTACATGTAGATAGCTTCCAGGCTTCCGTTGGCCGGTGGTATGTCGTCGTCTCTGGGCCCGAGTTTCACCTCAGCTTGCCCGTAAGCCGGAACACATGGCCATGTGAGCGTGCAAAAAAAACCACAACTATGCCAATTCGACCGCTTTTGGTCGTCAAGTGACGAGCACAGAGCGAGGTCAAGCTAATAATATCAAATTCCTAACGCTCCCTGGTCTGGAGCTACTGCAAACTCTAGCCAGTAGTCACCCACAACGAGCTCCGTCAGTCAATTCCTTCAACCTCTCTGTGCTACCCTGGACCACTCCCATGGTTGATCAGACCAGACCCCTGTGCGGTGTAGACCTTGGCTTAGCCGGACCGTATCCGCTCTAGATATGCCCGCCCACTTGCTATTCAACGTGGTAGTATACTATGTATGCGCCTTGAGCCATTGACAGCTCAGAACCTCCTCTTCTTTAGGCGCTGGCTTTTTAGTAGCGATAGACGATTCTTCATATTTGCTCCCTTGCACCCCCCGAAGCTTCGTCGTTGTTCCCCCTTCCCTTCTTTTGCCCCTTTGGATCTGTGATTGCTTCGGTCTTGCATACACCCGCCTCGACTCTCACGAGATCTGATGCGAGCGACCATCAAGCACCGACGCCACAATCCGAATTAGACAAGACATTGTTACACGGCACTGGGATATAGAAACGCTCCCACGACGTCAACGCGAACCAGGACAGCAAAACACATGGTGCTTGCCTTTTCCCACTCGAATTACTAACCTTCTCGACTGTTCCGAACAACGTTGGAAGACGGAGGGTTAGTAGTAAGCTAGTGCACGGTCGTGGAACCGGACACTGTTACCTCCGACGACAATTTTTGCACGGAACGCAGAGAACGAATTGAGCCGGCAGGTGGCAGGCGAGGCGGTGCATGATATGTACGAGCCCAAAAGCAAGTAGCGCACCCGTTTGGATATTGGGAGGTTTCGCTCAAGGACATCATCACTCGATTTTCGAGGTGAGTTCTTCCGATGTCCATTCTTTGTCACGATGCAGATTTTGGACAACTCTTAGCCCAGGCGCAGGACAATACACATGCTTATCTCCCCTACCGCATGCGCTCACTTACATATTCCTAGATTTTATCGCTGCGATGTCGTCCTCGAGTCATCCGCCGGCTTCGCACCGCCACAATGCGTCACTAAGCTCGGCAGGTCGATCGTCGAGGAAAGGAAAAGTAGCCTCTGAGCCTAGGGAGTTCGCCTCATCCAATTCCGCCATAAAATATTTTGAACCAATAGCGGCGACCGACCAAGTATTGCTATACGGGCGTACGTGTGAAAATCGGCCAGGGCAGACAAAGCTTCGGTGTAGCTAACAGTTTTATAGAGGGTAATTCGGTTGTCGTTGCAAACCATGACAGCTTAACAATCGAGAGGCGCTTCTCCCGCCACGCGGCCGAGGTTCAATTGCTCGCGGTTGATACGCAAAGTGCAACGATGGGCAACGGAAGATTCGTTGTGAGTTATGATGTGGACATGACTGCCATTGTGTGGGACTTGATGACAGGTGAAGAAGTTGCTCGGTTCTCCTCATATGAGAACCTCACCTGCGCAGCGTGGATGCGTAACGGCAATGTCGCATTTGGTATGCTATGTCATCAACCCTGCTCGACCGTCTCATGCTGATTTCAATCATAGGCAACGTACAAGGAAACGTTATTCTCTTTGAGCCCATGACGTCCGAGCACATATCTGCGCGGACCATCGATCAGATCCCTATAACTGCATTAGCTCCCGCTGCTGACTGCAGAACCTTTGCCATTGGGTAGTCCTCATTTCTTCACCATCAGTGCTTCCTCTCCACTGACTCTGTTTCAGATACCAGAATGGCTCTCTTATCATCGCTACCCTTCAGCCTAGATTCACGATCTTGCATAGCCTGAGTACCTCAAGGTCGCCATCTCCTATAGTCACGCTCGCTTGGCATGCATCATCTTCCCGCCAAAAATCGGACATGTTAGCTGTGCAGACCGATGACGGAGACTTGAGAGTGTGGAGTGTGGCCAAGTCGTTCAACAATAACGACCCTGCCAAGGTGGTACGGATCTTAAAGCGGAACGACAGCTATCAAAATGGCCCCAACTGGATGGGCTGGTCAAAAAACGGCCGCATTATCCAATTTTCTGATAAGTAAGTCATGGAGATATGCAGGCCGGGCGGGCCTGCACTTGGTACTTTTGCATTTGAGACTAACGTGATTTGCTATAGCGAGACTCTATCATGGGATGTACGAACCAAACATGTCACCTGGGATAGCATACCAACTCTTGAGCAAGTCCGCGGCCTCGCCGTATACGGGCCTGGCGCAATGCTTTTTACCCTCGGCGCCAACAACACTGTACAGCAGTTCGACCTGAACACACCAGCGATGATGATTGCCAATGTTCAGCATCCTGCCAACCTTCTGCCACCGTCGCCGCCTGTGTCTATTGAAGAGCAGCCGGAGCAAGGCGTCGTGATTATTGGCGCGGAATCTGATTCGTCCATCCCTATTGACGCCGGTATTTCAGAAAGCGATGACGATCACATGTCACCTCTGGCCCGGATGGTTCGCGGAACTGACTCTACTAGTGATTCATTCGATCAGGATAGGTATATGTCGGCAAGTTCTGCTGCTTCTACTGCGAGCTCTACTGTTTCCAAGTCATCCGCAAACTCTGGAACGCAAGGACGGTACCAGCCATCAGTGCAGTCTCGAGGAATGACGGAGAATACTTACATTTCCGCTGGCTCTTCTCTGCGATCATCCGTCCGTCCGCCCTATGGTGATAAAGATGCGTACTCACTCAGTGGCGTTAGCTCGGTTTCCATTACCTCATCTTCCAGATCCCGAACTCGGCCCTCGAGGCTTCGGAATGAAGTTTTGCCTAGCCCTAGCCCCGATGAATCCAGGGCTCACGACCTCTTCAAGTTCACCAGAAGTCGTCTCCACGATGTTCCTTACAAACGCACCCCGCTAGCTGACCAGACGCATCTGACAAATGATGATCTCCGTCGACAAATGCTCAGCATCATCTTTGGATGGAACTCAGAGATGGATGATCTCGTCCGTGATGAAATGTTACGACATCCTCCTAGATCTGCGAGTCGTATTCTGCTTGCCAAGTGGCTCGGGGATATCAATACCGACGTGATGGCAACAACTTCAGAAAACATGACATCTTCTGATTGGATGCTTCTCGCCTTGAGTGGCATCGGAGGTCAAGCTTCACAGCACAGCCTTGGCCGTGCTTATGTGCAACGACTTCTGGAGAATGGTGACGTACATGCTGCAGCTACTATCATGATAGGAATGGGCGACCACAATGACGCGATCGAGATATATATATCGCACAAGAAGTACCTGGAAGCTTTAGTCTTGCTTTGCTTATTCTTTCCTGGCGTATGGGAACGTCAAGCTGCAGTCATCAAGAAATGGGGCGACTTTGCTGTTCAGCATGGCCAACAGGGCTTGGCAATTCGATGGTATGTGCAATTACATTTTGAATTCCTAGTTTTTATCTTTCTACTGACAGTCTTTCTTTAGCTATGCTTGCACTGGCGTCGAGTCCACGGAGCCGTGGACGTCGCCATCTGCTGCACAGGTAACCTTTCCAAGTATTGACATCAGCCAAAGTGTTCCTGAAATCTTGAGCCCTCCGCTGTCTCCTCCTGGATTGAACCGTGGGCCTCAACGCAGCATCGCAAAATCATCGGCTCTGAAGCTTATAACCTCATTTGACGACAAGAGACAGAAGGCAAAGTTTTTCACAGACGGCGATGATGGAAGGACGCCTATTGCCGCTGGCGTGACGCCAATTGCTGAATCGGCAATTTCTCCTGGTGGACGTGATCCGAGCACGGCTTTCCTTCGTCCGTCTCAACGTAGTGTCTACAACACCCCTGCTTCAGCAAACCCCGTTACGCCGGGCGGCTTTGGTCGACAAAGACTCTCTTCTATTGGTGAAGTAGCTGCGGATGGATTTTCACGCAACGCTCCCAACGATATCCTAGTTGATATTGTTCCTGATTCCACTCATCCCCAACCCCGCGAACACGGCCGACAGGGCTCAAACGATCATTTTGACACTGGGATGTCTCTTCCACGAGCTGCTACAGCCGACCCAATGATGATGAGGGATATACAGAGCCGCAAGGACGCTCCCCCACCCTCCCCATCACCTGAATCTATTAATGCCCTAATGCAACAGGGCCGTTCTAGCAGGAACGGTGCACGTGATCGACGACCTGAAGGAATGGAGCTCAAATTGAACTCAATTGATGCTGCCATGGCTAGTGATGTTACCTCACCAGAACAATCTGTTACATCGTCGACGCGCTTCCATTGGCCCACGCGCCGCCGTGGACCTGGTTCGGTAGCCGGTTCAGTCACGTCTAACTCTAGCGCAGGACGGAGCTACCGAGTCAATCATGCTGGTGTAGGAAACAGAAGCCTTACCGACTATATTCACAGCTTAGAAACTGCCCAGCATTACTCCAAGAAACAGCGTAGCCGTGAAAGTAGTCGACATCGTCAAGATGATCGCCCCGGACGAAGCCGTGATAACAGCCGAACTCGCAAGGCGCGTACCCGAGAGAATTCGGAAGAGAGAGGGCGAGGACCTTCAAGGAATTGGACACCTAAGCCTAAGCGTTCACCTACCTCTCCAATTCCCATGTCTCCTGAAGAGCTCATCAATCTCAGCACCCCGAAGCAGCTTGATATACAATTGAATGACGAGATCGTTCTTCCTCTTGATTTAGACTCTACTGCCCCCTCTACAGTTCGCAAATCCAGTCAAATTCGACGCTTATCGCCTCGGAACGCCCGCGGGTCCAGTCGCGCGTCGAGCCGAGGTGGTCGGACGAAGAGTCGCGAGCGCCGTCCACCAGCGCTTGACATCCGGGGTCGAAGTGAAAACCGGGGTGATGGCTCTATGATTAGATCGCCCTCATCGCCGTTGCCCATGTCTACTCAGCTCAAGTTTTACCATGAATCCGACGATGATGATGCTGACTACCGCGCGGCAGTCGAGGCACAAGAGCAATTTAGGAATCGACACAACCGGAGTGGTAACGCAGATCCTTCATCTCCCGCCGTTTCGAGGGCACGAGATCGATCTGAGAGCCGACGAAGGAGGAATAAGACTCCTGCAGACCAAGAACCTCCGATGCCTCCTCAGCCGGTCCAACCGGTACAACTGGTTCAACCAGTTCAGCCAATTCAGTCACTTCAGCCAGCCCGCGAACAATTGACAACACAGGCTAGTGTTGGAGACTTGAAGCAAATCTCACTTCAACGACAGCTCAAGAAAGAAGCGGCGGCTCGCGAACTGGAAGAACGGCGCAAGTCCCTGGCCCGGCGGCCTTCTGTGCCACCTATCATGCACCCAGACCAGCTCTCCCCCATTGTTGCCAGATCACCTAGTGCTTTCGAGCTTCCCCAGACGACATTCGTCCCTCCAAGGGATGTGCCGTCCAGAAGCCAAACCGCCGACTTTGCTACTCGAAGGGGTTCCAATATGCGTAGCCCCAACGGTCAAATGATTGGCCTTCCCGCTACCCCCAAGGCTATGAGACTACAGTTCCAGAATGACATGAGGAACACACCCGGAGTCCCTCCTGTTCCTACAAATTACAAGACTTCCCCTCCTTCCTCAGCACAACCTTCGCCAGAAAGGCTAAGCAACAACTCGCCTACCAAGATCCCCGAAGACGCACCGTTGACTTTGCTTCCTTCTACTGTATACTCTCCTCCAGTAAGACCCAATATTCCGAGGTGTATGTCAGCACCTATTCCCGAGGAACCTGCAGGTCGTCCTAGTGTGCCTAGGCAATCGACCTTCCAGCACGGAATGCAAGCTGCCAACTCGCATACGCGTAGAGGCTCCAACGCGAGAAAGATGAGTGTTGATGCGACAGCTGGCATGCGCGGAATTGACGAGATTATCGGCGGAGGAAGGCATTCAAGAAAATCCTCCCGCGATGATATCCCACCTCCGCCTCCGCCACCTCCCATTTTGAAGGAGCTGCAGCACTTGGCCATCCCTCCTCCCCCTCCTCCTGCGCCACTACCTGGCTTGCGGCCGACGGTGTACGGTAGCCCACCCGGCGCCGGATCCATTGAGATTGTGATGGATGAGGAAGAACAAGGCCAAGCAGTACCAGCAGCCGCCCCTATGCACGAGACCATCGTGCCAATTATTGCACCGCCGGCACCGCCGTCATCACGGAATGGTCACCACCGCGGACGCAGCGTTACTGACAATAGCATTGCCGGTCGCCTCAGCCGTGCCACAGAGCGCATGCGATCTGCGAGCAGAGGGCGAAGCAACTCTATCCTCGGAAGCAGGACTAAGTCGCCCGATCAGACCTCGCCTTATGAAAGCGTACCGCCCCCACCGCCCCCAGTTGGCTACAACAGCCCGCCAGTCCCGCCACTGTCTCAGCCACTCCAGCCTACTCAGCTCGCAGGCCAGAACGTTGAGCGTCACCCCCGTGAGGTGCGGATGGCATATCAGCAGCAGCAAGAAGTTGGCAGCGGCCTGCACCACAGCGAGATGATCTAGCTGAACGAGCCCAACTACCCCTATTGACCCATACTACCAAAAGACACTCTCTTCGCGTTGATTTTCGGCTTTTGTAAGGGTTGGCATATCCACATATCATCATATGAAGCATTGCTGCATTGGCGCTGGCGTTCATTTTTCTTAATTGTCCGATTCTCTACGACTCTTCAATTGATACCTCCCATTGATACCATTGTTTCTTTTACCTTGGTCTCGATAACTCGAAATTTTCGGACCATCTCCACCCACTTACCACCTAGTAGCGGAAGCAATAGGTGTGGCATATATACCCCTATCATGACGACAGAGAGAAAGACGGACGGACAGCACAGAGCGAAGCAAGAAGCATCTCGCGAATGGAAAGAGTCGCAAGACCATCTCTTGGCTTCTGGGACATAACCTAACGAACTACCCAACACCTTGTACAAACTGATCAACCAACTTTTATCTATTGACGACCATGTTTCTTTCCTATCTTCTTTTGTTTCTGCTTTCTATATGCATGAACTCTCCTCTTTCTATTTCGTTTTCTAAAGCAAGCATATGTTACTCTTATCGCTCTATTTTTTTTTTTCAACTCAATCATGATTCACGACACGAATGAGAAGGGTACAGGACGGAAAGGATATACAGAGACCAGAAGAATCAAGAAAAAAGAAAGAGCGAATCGGGGTAGTTTCAAAGCCACGCGGCAAGGAACCAACTCAAAACCAAAATGGAGAAGATGCGGGCACGGGATGTTTGTGACGATGATGACGTGGAAGAAGAATGGAAGTGGAAAAACCGAACTTATCATTTTCTTTTCTTGTTGTTTCTAACCTCTTTTTCCTCAAGAATAGTGTTGCCTCACGGCATCTCTGTTATTCCAATGCTTGTTTTTTTTCCTTTATTCATGACTCATTTCTGCTTCAATTTTCCACTGCTTGCCATTTATGACGAGAAGAAGAACTTGAGTTATCGCCATCATCAATCATCTTTCACAATTGCATGTTCGTCGCACGTTTGTGCTTGCCTTGTCTTAGCTGAGGTAGTCAGTCCATCATCAATCAGATTGATCATGCTGCTTCTAATACATATATCTACATACAACAAATCTGAATTGAAATGTCCCTACATGTGACTGTCCCGTAGATATACATTTTACCTTTATTATGGAATAATGAGGGTTAGTAAATGAATACCTAGGTGCGAAGTGCTTGGGCGTTACTGCAATTACCGGTAGGCCATCTCCACAGCTACCTTAGGTACCTAGGTTAGGCGGTTGTGCCTATCAATAGTGAGCAGAAGGGGTTCGAGTCGAGACATGAGCACCAAGTATCTCATATTTTAGGATAGAGAAGAACCAAAAGAATGCTTTATTTAATGTCAATCACCACCACACAGCTTGAGTATACTGACTAATTGAACTACTAGTTAGTTAGTATATAGAAGAAAGAGAAAGAGAGAGAGAAAGAAAAGGAAAAAAAAGAATCGTGGAGTTGACAATCTCCATCTCAGACAACCACCCCATGTCCCCGAGCCAAGCGTAATCCAGCACACCATGCGACGGGGGAGATACTCTGCAGCGTGAAACCTCCCTGAAGCATCCTCTCCATTTCCTAGGGCCGTCTAGTCGACACTGGCTACCCAAGTGGATAGACGACCACCGCGGCATTTGCGCTGGGCGCAGCGTGCGGGGGTTCTTATGGTCATGGGAGTGGCCGTCTGAGAATTGCAAGCGCCTTCTAACCAAATTGACCATTACAGTCGAAAGAATCCCGCCGCTGTTTGGGTTTATAAAGGGTGGTGCGGTGTGGGGAGGGCTGGTGGAGACTTGGGTGTTGTTGATTGGTTGAAGAGGTGTCTGAGGGTGGGGTGGATTGGGGACGATGGAGGTACGTAGGTACTTACTTGCTATCGATAGAAGCTCTCCCTCTCTTCTACCTATATCGCGATACTTGATACTTCAGCATTGCGCATCGAGAAAGTACAAACAGGTAGTTGGATCTCAGAGATCTTTTATTCATTTATTCAGGCTAAGATGAGTTTCTCATGATGTCTGTGGACTGCGTTTCATGTGCAATTGCTCACTACCTTGCGTAGTAGCACACTCCCACTCAATCGTGTCGAACTCCGGAGTAATCATCAGTATCTCCCCCTCCTACTTCGAAACATACATTATAACTGAGCGTCCAAACCGAATATCAACCAATTGCCCTCCACTCCTTTTCCCGACTTCACCCTAGCTATAGGCTAGCTAGCTACCAAATCACGAAAAAACCATGCTAACGACAACGCCATACCTCCGCATCCGGCGCCCCTCGCCCACAGCCGCCGAATTCACCGTGTCGACCCTAGCCCCTCCAACCCTGACCCTGCGCCTGACTCTCTACGCCATCTACGTTCTCCGCGGCCTTTTAAGCGGAGCCATCCTGCTCTTCCTCTACGCGCTCTGGACACAAGGTCCCTACGGCTCATTCCCATCCTCTTCCTCCTCGCAAATCCTTTCCCCGACCCGCCTTCTCGGCATGCTCCTCGCCTCTCGCCCCGGGGTATCAGCGACACGCCTCGCGGCGCAGACGGACCCGCGCCTCGCCGTCCCCGTATGCGCAGTGGCGCTGTACGCCCTGACGACGCGCTTGTATACCGAGGAGTCGCTGCTCGTGCTCCGCGGCCTGGGCATACAGACGCGCTCGACGAAGGGGAATATCCTCGCCGGCCGCGCCACCACGCGCTTCATTCCCACGGAGAAGATACAGGGTGTCCTGGTCAACGAGGCGTTCCTCGGGTTCGAGGTCCGGTCGTATCTCGCTGTTGTCGTTGACGGCGAGCCTGATGTCGTGGTTGTCTTTCCGAAGCTTTTGCCGCGGGCGAGGGTTGTAGAGAGGGTTTGGAGGGGTGTTAGGGAGTGCCTTTATGAGCAGGGCGTGAGGAATGGGGCCGTTTTGGATGGGAAGAGTTGAGGTTTGATGGGCTGTGCTATACTGTGCTGTGCTAGGTGGTGGATAACTGGCTAGATTTTGGCATCGTGTATATACTACGGATGGCGTTTTCAGCATAGACTGTTGGCGGTGGACTTGTTTGGTCTTTTAAGGAGTTGACGATACCCCTTGAGCTTATCTATTGTAGCTTTAGCTCTGATGCTGATTTGATATATATTCCCGTACAATAGTTTGATTGTACCCTCCAATATCTCTAATAACATGATATGCAGAGCTCTACGCTGTAGCTTCAACATTCGCATCTTGAGGTCGAACTGCTTCACTATCCATCCCCGTTGCGGCAGCGGCCTCGGCCCTCCTCTGCGCAATAACCGCCTGCATATGCGCCGCATCTGTGTATCCCTGCCTCTTAGCCTCCTTATCATACGCCTCCTGCGGCGCCAGAACTCGAGGCTTCTTGAGCAGCGGGACGTATTTCCCAAGACTCCGCTCCCTATTCCCGCCCTCGAAGCCCTTCTGGTTGGTGCTCGGCACATGCCGCTGTGCCTTCGGGTTGAGCTGTCGCGAGAGATCCGCCTGCGTCGCCACGATGTTCAAAAGCTGGCCTGCGAGCAGCTCGTCCATCTTGCGCTCGCGCCAGTGCTCCCACATATGGTTCACGAGACCCGAAGTGCCGTGCGCGTTCAGCACGCTGTCTTCGCCCACGTATAGCCATTCCATCCCGTCTGTGCGCGTCGGATCGTCTAAATCCCGCGGAAATAAGCAGTTCCAGAGGACGAGGGGTGTCTCGTTCGCGAGAACGTAGGCTGGTCGACGCGGCTCTGCGTCTATATCTAATAGCGCGTCGATTACGCTGGGGTCCTCGAGCCCTTGGCCCACGGAGAATAGCACCGAGACCATGCATCGGATTTGGTGCCAGAGGAACGCGGACCCACGCACGTGGAAGTAGTACACTTTGGGGAAATTCCCTGACGAATCAGACGAAGATGAATCAGAGGGAATCCTGAAGTCGTCGTCGAGGAGATGTGGCAGCGCCGTTTCCGCGCCGGGGACCTCGACGATGTCGCTCTCGAAGATCCGCCGCACGTAGCTCTGCCCCGTCTTGCTGCCATCGATCTTGCAGAAATTGCGGAAGTCGTGCAGACCCTCGAACTTCTTGGCCGCGGCCCGCATCGCGGCTAAGTCCAGCCAGCCGTCCACGGGCTTCCCGGCTTTGATCCTGCTGTCGCGGCTGGAAGGGTTCTCGAGACTGTGCGGCGTCGGCTGGTACGCCGGCTGCGTGAAGAAGTACCGGTACTGCCGCTCCCGACAGTGGTGACGCGCGGAGAACTCGGCGGGCGTCGTAGGACTCCATGCTAGGATCCGGATATCTGGGGGCAGGAGCCGGTTCAGGAGGCGCGGGTAAGGCAGTTCGTCGATTACATCGTCGAATTCTCGCTTCGGCGCCTTCTTTCCCTCCTCTGGATCCTCATTCGTAGTATCATCCTGAGCAGGCTCCGTAGATGTTTCCTCGACTTGCTTCGGCAGAGGCCGGTAACTCCTCATTCTAAGGCTGATGACCTGTCCGAAGGCACTCACACCGCGATCCGTCCGGCCGCATTTTGAGTACTCCCATGGGTCCCAGTTAATCTCATGTGGTTTCTCAGGGAAGATGAGGCAGGCCTTGACCAGTGCTTTCCAGAGCTCCTCCTCGATGGTAGGGAGGGTGCCGTGGCGCTGATACTCGAAACCGCCGTAGTTCTTGCCCAGGTACGCGAGCTTCAGCGCAACCAGTCTCGTAGAATATTTAGACGGGTCGATGCTACGCTCGGCTTTCTTCTTCTGCTTCTTGTTCTGCGGCTCGCCTTCTATCTTTGCTTCTTCACCATTTCCAGCTCCTTCGCCCTCGAGAAATGAGTACACCGGCGCCACTTTCGCAAGCGCTCCTGGTGTGGGCGCAACTACTTCCGCCCCCTGTTTGTCTTTTGCGTGGACTTCACGTTCCAGCTTCAGAATGCGCTTGATCAGAGCGTCTCTTGTCCATCGCTCGTACCCAGACACGCTATTATCCATTTTGGATCGTGCTTTGTAGTGTGCTTTTGTGGTGGTGGAGAAGCTGCATCGGCTCGTCTGGCATGCCGTCACGACTAGTTGGTGCAACCTATGGGGGCGCCAGCTACGACATAGTACTCTGCTACCGCCGAAACACCACATGCACTCTGCTTAATCATATGATGAACATAGATTGATTTCACAGCGTGGATTTACTTCATTACATGCAGCAATCAGTATACCCAATGTCTGGGTGACCAGTGGAAGATTTCTGAGGTGAGTAGGCTTATCGATAAAGATCTCCCGCTGGGACTTGGCAGGGCTTCAGCTAGATAGATACAAGGAGATCTTGGTGACTGCGGCGGTATCCTGTAATCACCTATTAACCTTACTTACCTACTGATATATGTTTTAAATACCGCTTTTGGATGATTACGATGCGCTGACTCAATGGAAGAACACACTGTCAAAGTTCTGCTGCTCGGCGACGAGAATGTCGGAAAGACAACATTTCTATCGTACGTCGCCGTTATATACCATGCCTGGACACGATTAACAGAGAGAACAGCCGCATCAGCAAGGGCGGGAATGCGCTCGACGGAAAATGTGAAATTACTCTGTTACGAGACGTAGATCAGCCTTTCATCTTCGAGCTCCGCAACAGGAGAAGAGCATATCGTCTTGAATTCTACGATACTAGTTATCCCGGTGACTGGCGGTCACTGGACCCAGACCTGATTCTCATATGCTATGATATCAGCCAGAGGCTAAGCTTGATCAATATGGAACGAGTTGTCAGTGTTTTTTGACGTGTCCACCCGTTTCTATCCTCAGCTCTAACCCCCAAACCATAACCACAGTGGATCAAAGAGGTCCATAGTACATTTGAAACGGGCGATCGCATTCCTATAATGGTGGTCGGTCTGAAGAGAGATCTCAGATCCGAAACCGATCCGAATGGCATCATCTATCCTCAAGAAGGATACAAGGTGTCGCAAGCGATGAGGGCAGATAGGTACGTCGAGTGTTCAGCGGTGACGGGTGAGGTGCTCAAGTTGGCGTTTGAGGATATCTGCAATACGGCCGCACAGACCAGGAGTGCAGCAGGCGGGCAGAGCGAAGGCGGCTGCGTCCTGATGTAGATAGTTGATTTCGGCGTATGATAGATTTGTAATTCAATATTCATTCCAAAACCCCTCTAAAGCCATCCTTCCATCTTCACAATCGATGTAGTAGTTCCGTGCTTCAGAAGACGATCACTGGCCACACTACGTGGTTTCCATAGCTTCTTCATCACCTTCTTCAGCAGGCGGAAAGTCGCCTAGAACCTCGAGGATAATATTGACGATCTCTTCCTGCTGCTCATCGGTGAATCGTCCCTCCATATCTTCTAGCACGGCATTGAGCACGACAGTACCGGTAGGTCGCAGATTCAAAATCATGATGCATTCGCCCTTGCTGATGTTATAAGGCTTCAACCTTTTGAGCAACTCAGGGATAGCAGCGACATCAAATGGGAGGGGTTTCTGGCTTAGAGGGCCAGGGAATGTCTCAAAGTACTTGAGCACCTACAAATATCTGTGAGCTATGTGACTTGAATGATGTATATACAAGGAAAAAAAATCAAAGAAGTGGCTTACCTCTCCTCGCAGTGTCTCTAGATTGCTGGGACCACGGCGTTTCTGTGCCTTGTATTGTTCAGCTTGGTCGGAGAGAAACTTGTACACTTCGACATTGGTCAACACGGCATTCTGGGCTTCGAGGATCCTCATTTTGACCAATGCGCCGGGCTGCAAGGTTACGGATACTCAGACGCAGATGTCCGCTTTGACTACCCAGGTAATTGTCTCAGTACTCTAAGTACATGCTTATGAAGTATGTGCCCAGTTATTTAATATTGCGCTGCTTTCAAGTCGTTTCTTGAATTTGACTCCAGTACAAATGAGCTGTTGTACTTGTAATTTTTGTGGCAGATGGCTGACATCTGGCAACAGCTGTTCTTAACTCAATTGCAGACAAATTCGATACTACCTCAGTTCCCTCTGGTATTAAGCTCAGTCTATTGAATTACATAGTATTCGATTCTCAGAAAATTACCTAAAATCTTCGAATAGTCTGAAAATTGCTACCCATTGCCCAGGCTATTTCGTCATCGGTTTGAATATCATGCTATAGTTATTATATCTGATTTTAAGTCGCTCCATATTTCACACCTCAACGGTACCATGTTCACCTTCCAGAACAGCTTGCAGAATATAAACTTTTGTAGCAAAGAAGTCCATCACATACGACCATAGCCACTGGAGAACTCGGGGTCCCGTCTGCTCCCCCTTAGATAAACCAATGAGCGCCGAATTAGTAGTTGGGTCGGTGACGACCAGCGAATCCTCGGTGTTGTATGTTTTTTTCATCTTTTTCTCGCACTCTGTCATGAGGCTACAAGGCACCTACAAGGCTGTAACAAAGACTCCTCTTGTATACAGCTTCAGCTTTGCCCGCAAGACGGTTGGAGGGACCCTTGCGCAATAATAGAAGTCATTAGCCAGTATACCAGGTCCTGACACTCTTGGGTTCACCATACCCAGTTTTCATACTTTTAATGTACAAAACGGCCCTGACTAAGTAGTCAAGCTAAAGGAATCGATGTCTAACGTTTTCTGATGGTAGATTGTAGTGACTCGTTTCCAACCGTGTTCTTTTGGGCAAATCAACGTTATATTGTTGCTCCCTTAGCTACCAAATATGTCTTCAGGCAAGGTGAAATCTCCTCAAAGGAGAGTTGGCGTGGTGCTGCAATATCTGTCCTTTTTACAAGGATTAACACGCTCATCTTGTCTATAGCTAAATGTTTCTCATCACTGGGACATGAGCTTGGGTCCAATTGTAGCAGCTTCGAAGAACATCCACTCTAGCTTCCCCGGATATCTTCTCCAGGGTGACGTCCGGCCACTGACTCATGGTGAACTTCGCCTGCGGAGAAAACAGCAATACGTAGCCATCAGGAGCTATGCTCCCCGATACCTCTGGGGAAAACTATATTCTTCGCAAGTCACAGCCGGATCTAAGATGAAAGAAGCTTGCATCATTATGACGATGCAAAGACTGAAGGCTATCGCCACTAGACGGTCTCTTCGTATGTTATTTATATAAGCTGTACTGGGAGCTTCAGTCCCGATATGTTGAAGACAGAATCCATTCACGCACGCATTCTATTCTACCTAGACTTTACTCATAATTTCGTATAAGCTGGACATTCAGAACAGTAAAGTGCTCCTCGACAATGCCGACTGAAAATACAAATGCATCTCGCGCCTTCGACTACGGCGTCGGCGTAACAGGCGAGAACGTCGATTTCGCCGAGGAGTCGGGCCTCGAAGCGGTATATGTTCTATTATAATCCCCTAGCCTAGCATTTAGCTCTAACAATAGGATAACATAGCCCGGCGTCCACGACAAAGCCCTCCTCGACAGGCTCAGAGACGCGCTGAAACCAGGCGATGCGCGGAAAGCAGCCTCTTCGTCTTCTTCAGCCGACACAACACATGACGGGCGACACGGCGGCGTGGAAGAAATCATGAAGCCCGGCCACCGCGACTACGACGAGGGCGCTCATCACGGCCTCGGAGGCGCGGCGAGCGGCATACTCGGCCAGACGCGGTCTGGCTTCGAGCAGATGAAAGCTGGCGAGGGAGAGCTTGGGCTCATGGATGCAATTAAGAGGAAGACGGGGGCTGCGCAGAGTGAGGATCATAGGGACTCGTCCCGTTTGACCAAGGCGGATAATAGTAAAGCGCCTGGGGGTGTGTATCAGGCTATTCGGGATGAATTTAAGAAATAGGGGTATCGATGAACCGGTGGTTGCTTTGCTATTGTATGCATTATGCTAAGGTTCGATGTTTTACTATGTTATTGTCCTCAATTTTGGGAGGGCTAGGTTTCGCTCGTAGCTAGAAAACTAAAGTCGAGAGACAAAAATCCTATACACTTAAGGTATATGCTATGCATCGTGCCTATGCTTTTATACGTATACGGGGTTATCTCGAAACTGTCTCAGATATTGATGCAACGCATTGTAAATGAATAGGTGCTGCTGTGTCAACTGAGGCTCTGGGGAAGTGTTAATATTGTTTTTGAGCGAGACCTATATGGGAAGCGTAGAAGATATCTTTATTGACCATAGCTCACCGCCGGTGAAATAATCTGCTCACATACCTCTCGGTTGACGACTCCACCACTTACCCGGATATAGACTATCAGTCACAATATGTCTATTCCGCTGTGAAGAGAAGTCCCTGCGAAAGTGGTATCCGCATATAAGGGGCCCGTCGTCCGCAGGGTATATCACCATTTCTAGGATATACCTTCGGTTGATTTTCATTCAGTCCTAGTGTATCACAGATGATTGTTTGAAGCAGTGCACTGCACTAACTGCCACCTGACCATGAAATCTGCCAAGGGTACTACTATATGAGCGACGAGGCTCTGCGCCAGAATGTGGCATGGCAGTTCACGCCGTAGAATCAATATCCATGTCTGCCGCCTGCAATCGCTCTATTTCCTCGATTCGTTTCAACATGCCATCCTTCCATTCACGAAGCTCTTGTCGTTTCTTGTCTGTCATGTCCCACCTACTCTGGAGCATCGTGTCGGGCCTCTGGACATGAAGTCTCTCGCTGATTCTGGTATCTTCCTCCTCCTCCATGTCTTCATCATCGCCAGGTTTGTCTGCGCTTGGTTCGGATCTCTTCACCATTTCGTCGAAACCGTCAAACCATTCATCATTTTGCCAGCCCCTTTTAATAATCTCGGCCATGACTTTATCTATGTCTCTCGATGTCACATCAGACCACCCGATCCAAAGTTCATCCTCATCCATAGTTGGGACGGAGACCTTGTCTTGTGCGTGTCCCAAAACATCGAGGATGGACTTCCTTATTTTTGAGTATTGCTTGTCGTCCAGGTCTTGGCCTTGTCTTATGACATGAAGCTGCCCTGCTACGAGGCAGTATACGGCGGCTAACAAGGGCGTTAAATGGTCGTTGACCCATTGATCTTTGGTTCGTCTGCCATGTGGAGCAACAATAGTTTGAATTCCAGCGAGGACAGTTCGTCCAATAATTTCTTGGTCTAGTTCCTTGCACAAAAGCTGGAGGGTTGGGCGTATCCATGCGGGTAATGTACTGTCGATGCCGCCGGCTTTCCTTTTTGCCTTTGCACGGACGGGTGGTGGTTTCGACGCAGACTTGGTAGGTGTGCCATCCGCCTTCACAGGAGACCGGAAGCCGGCTAAGGAGGCATCCTTGGTGGGTGTTGGTCGAGAGGGCGTCCGCTGGGCGCTACCGAATAGACCCGACTCTCTCGCCTTCGACGTTGGCGTTCTTACGCGGCTGGGCTTGCCGAGGGATGCCGAGGGCAGGACATTGTCGAGGTGAGCATACAATCGCTTGTATAATCGCGGGGGGATCGGCGGCCTCACTTGTATGGGCGGTAGGTTGAGCGAGATCTTGAGGCGTTCACAGGCGAGGTGAGCGCATGCGTAGGAACGGGCGACTTCTTCGTCGACCTTCAGGGCTCCAGCATTGTGACGCGATTGGGTAAGTAGAGACGACGCAAGGTCTAGCAGAGGCTGCGGGAGCGCAGTTGAGTGGCTGGGCAGCAAAGAGTATAACGTTGGCTCTAACGTACGGCTCATCCTGGCATGCAGATGAAGGTTGCGTCAACCTTATCCGACATAAGCTTATTATTTCTGACAGAACGCTGGCAGACAAATACACTGAGGGCTTGCTACGTCTCAGACCGTCAGGTCATGGCTTGTGATCAGTAAAGCACGCAGTTCCTCGTATCAAGATATCGTGCTGCCTCGCTCCTATCCCGTATCACATACAAAGACACCGAGGTGGTAGAGAAATGTCGAGTTCGGAATTGTAGCAATGTTGAAATGCCCGGTGAAATGACGTTTCTTGGGCGCGCGAACGCGCTGAACTCGCTACCTATATTCTATCTGTCAGGGTGTAACCGCGGCTCTAACATACCTGCCTCTTTAGCGCCTTGCTAGTGGCTATGACCCCTGATACATGCCTGCAATGGGTAAAGCCGATAGTGGGGGATGGCAGGACACACCCCTGTAAGGTGGGCGGCCGATCACCTTGGCCGTTACCTATCATCATCGTCAAGGAAGTGCAGTCAACACTTCCTTGATCTGTCCTTATTCATACTTGGTTGTTCATTCGTTGATCACCAATTACTACTACTGCAGGCACACGTGCTTTTGTAATTACGAACAAATATCATCACGTCAATCTTTACATCTCTGTCTCAGCAACAGTTCAATCTCCGTCCTTATCGCCCGTTTTCAAAGTGAAGGCAAGCCGAGGCCCTCATTACGATGCTTTCCACCGTCATAATAATCGCCGGTTTACTTACCGGTGTCCTCGGCCACGGCTCTCACGACCAGAAGCCTATGGTACCAGATGACGCGAATTGGATGACGAAACATATGGCAGGTACGTTGTAATTACTCCTGACTGGACATCGACATCTGCTTCCTTTGTACAGAATAACAGTCAGACAATGTCGCATGGAGGACGTACATTGCTAACATACAAAAAAGAGGAACACCACATGGCCGGCTTCGATCCTTCCTCCTTCTTCACATTACACGACTTCAACAGCAACGGCCGATGGGAACCCGAGGAGATGATGCGCACCTACGGTTTGATGGACGAGTCAAACAAAGACGTACCCCTCTCCAAACACGACGATTACCGACGCCAATTGATGGGCCTACTCGACCGTAACAACGACGGCTACGTCACGCGCGACGAGTTCTTGGCCTTCATCGCAAACGGAGGCACCCTACCAGACCTAGGGACGGGACCGGGACACCACGGCGACGACGAGTACGAGTACGAGATCCACCACTGGGAGAAGTACCACGACGAGAACACCAAGCTTGAAGATCTAACACACCCTGAGGATATCGCGCATTTTCGCAAGCATGACGAGATGGAGGAGGCTGAGGAGCGCCTTGCGCGCCTTGATCGCATGGCTATTGTCCAGGAGAACATCCCGGCTAAATTCAGGAGGTTCGGTTGATGGCCATGCTTGGGTCTGAATTGCCGTGGTGATTCTCTGCTTTTGTAAGATTCTAATTATCAATTGTACATTGAGCGCATGACAGGTATGGCGTCTATATGGATGGGCTTTTATGCGTGTATATGATTTGGAAATGGCATAGGGTTGCGTGAACGATGGTCCATGTCAAACAAAGAGCTAATGGAATGGGGAATTTGAAGCTGGCATGTTGGCGCTCCAAATCGAGCTTCGAACTTTCGCCAAGAAATAGTCTCATGTTGTGCTATCGTTTCTATCTGTAGACTTCTTAACGTACAGATCAAACACACAGTGCCAAACCCCCGGCGCAAACGTCTTGACCAGCTCAATATGCTCTGCGCAGACGTCACGATGGGCATCGGCATCGCCATCTCTCTCCAGTAATCGTTCCCGTGCCACAAACCATTCACAGATCTCTTTTCTCATCGTCTCGATATCTGACACGCCCACATTCTCATGAATGTGGAACCAAGCCCGTTGAGCCTCGCTAGTTATATCCCACGCAGTCGCCCAGGAGCCCCGACTAGTGGGCAGCAGTCCACAATTGACATGCATGATCTTGTTCATTCGTAGTTCCGTCCTTGTTCCGTTTTCATCCTCGTCATGATCTCTTTGCTGTGTCTCGCGCTCTCTCGTGAGCTCATCTAATCTCCTGATCCTGTCCGCTGCACGAGTGTTGTCCTCGAGAAATACCACGATGATCTCATCGCCAGCTAGTATATCTCTAAGGATTTTCTCCTCTTCTTCTACAGTACCACTTGTTTTAGGCGGAGGGTGAACAACCCTCACACTCCATCCGTTTGCTTCCGCGCCCCGTCTCAGCCCCTCTACGCTCCACGGATTCAGTTCCCAGCATAGAACGCGGAAGCCCAGTGTCGCATAGCAGAAGGCGAAGTACCCTATCCCGGCATATAAATCGACTGCCAGCGCTCCTCTTCGCTGCTTCGCGGGGATATGCCGATGCGTCAAATCGTAGTCTTGCTGATTTCGAGTACTTGTTGTTGAGCTCTTGGCATCGTGGAAGTCAAGCAGCCGCGCTTTCTCTTTGATATTGCCCCGGCTGAACATAGTCCATCTAGGCGCCCAGATTTGCGTGATACCATTCTGCTTCGTAGAGACCCAGAAGGCGCGCGAGAAGTCTTCTTCTGTTACATTTACCGGCTGGAGAGGATCTTCGCTTAAGTTGCTAGTAGATGTTGATAATGTAGATGGCCCGAAATCTCCATAAAGCATTCGAAGACCGCCTGGGCTACGCAGTATGTTCTCGCTGGCATGCGCTGTCGTTTCTTCTCTTGTTCCTTCATTGCTACCTCTTGAATGCAAAGGTATGCCCTCGTTGATAGCTAGATGCGTGAGCTTGGCTTTGGGAGACTGTGATATCTCCTCTAGTATCATCTTCCACAGCAACTTAGGGTCCCGTAAATCCACGTCATCCTCACTCATGGGCAAGATTAGGGCGTCGCACCATGCTGCTGACGTGAAAGAGCCTGCGGGAAGTAGCACGAGTGGTCCATACGCTGTCCATCGCCTCGGCGCTTGTGTGGTGAGATCATTGACATTGTGCTGATTGTTTAGGCGGACCGCATGCTTTTCATACCATTTATTGATGGCGACTTCAATTGGGTTTCGTTTCTGCCGAAGTCTCTTCTGTGTTTGTGGGTGCTCACGCTTCTCATGCTCCTCTGTGCTCATGATGAGATGTGTGATTAATTCATGGATTCAGCAAGGTTCACGGCTCGAAGTGGGCCGTAGTGCGAGTGTGCACCTATCAACAGTGCCGTAGTAACACCGACCCCCTTTTTTGGTTGACTTACCCTCAACACTGGGGGATTTTATCTTGAATAACTTCTTGCATTATTACTGAGAGTTCTGTGTGAATTCAAGCATATCTAACCACGTCGTACGATAACTGCCACGTGAGATACTCCCTCCCAATTCTGTGAGGTAACAAGGCAAGGTTACGGTAGGTGCTGTACGATCAACCTTTCCTTGACTCGTGAAATGCCGGACCTGAAGTTTTTGTCACAAAACTTTCCAACCGCGGTTAATTTCGCGCTGAAGGTGAGTACATATACATGTGCCTAAGATGTTATGAAGACCGCCCAACAGGTGGCGGTACTTCTGATGACCTGATTTCCCCTCAGCATCCCTTCTCAGATTATTTGAGGCTCGTAACTTCTCAGGTCTTTCTGGAATGCTGATTTTCAGGTCCTCTACAAATATCTTCCAAGAACTGTCCTATTCGCCAGAGCGATGTTCCAGTGAAAGGTTTTGCAGCTCTCAGCGTGGTCGTTAATGTTGCCCAAGTACTTGAGTACGGGTTCAAACCCCTTCGGAAGAGCAGAAATCTTCGCGATGTAGGGGTCCCTGATCCAGAACTAGACAACGGTGCGCGGCGAGTCCGAACAATTGCAGCTAGCCTTAGTGCCCAAACGCTTCTGAAGAGTCACGAGGGTCTTCAAGATCTAGCACTTCAATGTGTTATAGTATCTGCGGAATCTATCGAGGAGCTTGACGCGCTTAAAGTTGTAGATCCCAAGTCAAAATGACGACGAGTCATAGCCATATAGAAAAGTGAACGTAGGAAAAAGTACATGGAAACACTTGAGAAACGCCTTAATAGTTATAAGACTCAACTAAATCTACATCTAGCTAGTCTCTCTAGGTAAGACATGACAGTAGTTTCATTTTGCGTCTATTCTTTATTTCGCGAGAGATAAGACTAAGATTGATCTAGAACCGAAATCAATACGAGGCTGGTAGATATTGGCCGTAATAAACAAATAGTCATAAGCGAATTGACAGATATGCAGTCCACGGTCAAAAGGCTTACCGACGTTGATCAAGAGCTTTCCAGGACGATCGAATCATTAGTCCGGCAATACCATGATCAGCTGAGTGAACAAGTCATTCTCGACAAGCTTCGTTTTCCTGATAATATGCATGAAAGATTTGATACCATTCCCGATGCTCATGTAGAAACATTAAAATGGCTATTTGGCCATGATGACAGTGGCGACGACCCTAGAGTGGAAGCTTCGAAGGCTTTCATAACGTGGCTCCAACAAGGGAGCGGTTTCTTCCACATTTCTGGGAAAGTGGGTGCCGGCAAGTTCACTATGATGAAGTACATTTGCTCGCATAAGGACTTGGATGAGCATCTGAAAGTCTGGTGTAAAGGTACTCAGCTAGCTCGTGGCCAATTTTTCTTCTGGAAGCCTGGCACTACCGCGCAAAAGAGTCTGAAAGGTCTTCTCCGTGGACTCTTACACTCGATACTCGACAAAACCCGCGATCTTATCCTAATAGCAATGCTTGAGCGCTGGAAACTGATCACCGCCAATTTCACGTTCAGCAGAGAACTGGACTATCGTGATTTTCAAGACGGATTTGATAACATTCTCGAACACGCTGGTAACTCCGGCCTATACAAGATTGCGCTGTTTATAGATGGGCTTGATGAATTCGAGGGCCGGTATGTCATGGGGGTATGTCCCCAGAGTGAGGCTAGATTACCAATAGGTAGTACGTAGGAAGTAGATAGGTTGAAGGTATGGGTAAGGCTCAATATTATTGATCCCGAACCAGGTTTGCCTAAAATAGAAGGTACCCCTCAAAGAACTCTATGGGAAACAGTGATCCATGGGGTTATGACAAATACGTTTCCCCCAAGTTGGTGCCCTGGTGTTGTAATCGATTGGTTTCTTCGACATGGGGCGAACTCAGACATGGCTATAGGCAAACTTGCTCCGCACGGTCCTCGTTCAACTGCCGTGGTTAGTCCCAGAGGGCGGTTACGAGTTTCTCCATATTCATTGGCTTGTTTTATGAAGCGAAGTCTATATAACCTCACTTTCCAATAGTGCCTGTATGTCTCTAATTATGAACAGCCTACAATGGCCTTCCGTACAGCCGAAGCGTAAGGCGTACTGCATGCTCAGCTTGTACGCGTGTAACATTGACTCGCTTTGTCAACAGTACTCTCACTGAGCCTTGAGGATCTATTCTCAAAATCATTCATGTATTCAACCCATCCCATGTTGCCGGCGCCCCTCACAACATGCCGAAGGCGAAGGGTCATATCTCTCAATTGCAAGGCGATGCCTTGACTGTAGCCACACAGCTCCACGGCCAGATCCTACATGCCCTAAACTTCGTCAGCACTTTGGCTGCTTGGCCCACGGGTGCCAACAAGCACATAAAAGAGATAGAGATTCTCGTTGATGAATATCTTGAGAGAACCGTGGTAAACGAGAAGAAATTGGAAGCACTAAAGCAGGCAGATTTTGCCAAACTCATATCTCTGTTCGTTGTGGCTCATGCACGCTTGTGCTAGCCCCCTATATGATGTCTGTCTAATTAATAACTTCTCATCCTGTCCTAGATGGTATCCTGATGCACAGTGGCCCGAGCTGAAAGTAGCCACGGCTTACACGGTATTATGGATCTTTGTCTGGGATGACGAGGTCGATACTGGTGGCCTTGCCGATGAGAGCCTGGCACAGGAATACTACCAAAATTCCATCGCCTATGCGCGCTACATATTGGGACTCGATGAGCATTTTCATACTACAAATGGTGATGCTAATGTAGTTATACCACCGCACACAAATATGACTCTATTCGTAGACTTCGGTTCCGTATTGCGGGAAAAGACAGATATTCAGCAGCGGCAGCGATTCTTCGATAACCTCAAGGACTTCAAGGAACAAGTGGGAGTGGAACATAGTTATCGCATCTCGGGGAGCATGCCATCGTTAAGTGATTATATGGTCATACGCATGGGCTCTGTTGGCTGCACCCCTCAAATTGCCCTGACCGAGTAAGTCTTTGTTAATTTTTAGAACGAACGTAGAACTGAAAAATGAAGTTTCATGTTAAGGATCAGACTTCCCGAGTCAGTTATGGGCTGCGATGCGATGACAGCTCTTTGGGGACAGACAACGCGGATATGTATAGTCCTAAATGACCTGTACTCGGCTCAAAAAGAGATGGTAAGTTTCATCATTACATATTTGACAGTTACTAATAACTACATAATCTAAACCCCAAACTTCAGGCTCAAGGCTCGCTTTTGAACATCGTTCCCATCATATTCCACGATATCAAAGACACGGGTCAGAAATGCCTTAGCATGATATCGCAGGAATTAGATCGTATACTAAGAGACGCTATGGAAAAATTCGAGCTTGCTGCTCGAGAACTTGAATACATGGCACCCCGTCGCTCCCAGCTGAACGAGGATATCCTCAAATTTGTCAAGTGGTGTCGCTACTACGTTATGGCTTGCCTCCACTGGACCTTGGAGTCTCATCGATATGGGATGATAAAATGCACCAATGCTGACGGCACATTAAGCATTCCTTTTTGATATTGGGCTTATATGGTGTCTAGTTCGTAAGAGATCTCACTTGATCAGAGGCATAGAGGCTAGGCAGGTATCAATGCCACAGACTCTTTTATTACACATAGGTTGAACTCACTATGAGATATGTCTCTCATTGGGAGACCTAAATCATCAACTGCTTTTTGATTTCAGTTCCAGTTTAGCAGTCAATCGTTGGACACGATATCTATGAAGCAACATGGACTACTAAGTCATAAGCCAGACTAAGCATAACATGAGGACTTGGCTTCAAGTAAATATAAGTAGGCATTACTTACTTCTAGAATACTTTTCGAGAGCATTCAATACTACGGAACACATACAATCATTCTAGATGAGTATAGTATTCGCCTGATATTTGTGTAGACTTTGTTATTAAGACCAAGGAACTATCTTTCAGCCGCAGGACCCCCTGTCCATGCTTATTATGCAACTTGCATGATGAAAATTATCGGGAACTTACGGAATGACGTGAACGGAGGAAAGTTTCGATCCCTTGGCTGTCTTCCAGCATCTCCTCACTTTAAAACATGTCGGAATTACATAGAGTAGACAGCACAACGACAATTCAAACAGGCGTTTTCTAACTTCACTATGCTAAGTCTTGGGACGGACATCTCTAGATTCAAATCGACTTGGCGATGCTGTCATTCACAAGCCGATCTTGATGGTTAAGCATACTTCACTAAAGCAATCTTAGCAAGAGAATAGGGCAGGGCGATATCTCCCGTCGTGTTTCACATGTAGACGAGAACGAGCTACATATGTACCCAAAACCATTTCGAGATTCCAACGCGGGGAAAAGGGCCAAGGCACAAGTAGTTCATCTCTAGATCGTATCTAGTGCAAGATATTTACCCAAAGGAGAAGTCAACAACGAAAGTCATAAGGAAACAGACCAATCATATCTACGGCACGAAGTATGTCAGAGACTACTCTATGTATCCATTCATCCAACGTCGGGACGAAGGGAATAGCCACAGACGTGGTGATGTGCATCTCACACTACTATGTAATCAAGTACGGGGTTGTCTCCAGTTTGCTTCCTACACTAGCTGCAACCACTAAGGCAAGTCAGCCCAAACGAGGGTCCCCACCCCCCGAAATCGCTTGCAAAAGGCATGCTTGTCAATCCGGCATACATACATAAATATACATGAAATGCTTCGTGGCCATCCCGTGCTGCCCGTGGGAGGTTGTGGGGGTTTGCCCAGACCATGACTAGGTATGCATGGTGAGAATGCAGGGTATGAAGGAGGGTAAGATGTCGAGGATGTCTAGAATAGAGGAGAGCGGCCAGAACTCGTATCTGAGCACTGCATTCTCACCATGTGTGCATCGTTCTCTCCGGATCTGCGCTTCTAGAGCCGCTGATCAGGTGGCGCCGTGGCCCTACGACCTCAGAAATAAACCCTACATAAGTCAAGATAACAAGGAGGTTCAACCGCTTAGTTTAGTCAGCTACCGGTAGCGCAAGCACACCACAGGCGGGGTACTCCGCGTTTTGGGGGTGAGACACCAACTCTGCCCCCCTTGCGTGCTCTCTCGATCTGCGTTGCCTGATGGGAATGAGTGGTCTGATAAGCCTTAACCATCTTATTTTTCACCGCCTGGTTTTTTTTTTCCATCGTAAGATTTTCCTGATATGTATTACTTATCGCCGACGTCCACTGTTTGGGGTATTGCGCGGAGTTCCGTCCGGCTGGTAGTGCAAGGAAGTTCCTGGCAAACTGTCCTTTGCTTGCCCTGCTTGATTGCCTGCTTTATAAGTAAGTACGATGGCGTAGATAGGACTAATCTGATGCCCGTCACGGCCGACGATTCCTGCAGAGTATGAGCCACGCAATATACCTACATCGTGTGGTGTAAAGTCCGACGAAAAAAAAAACAATTCCGCACAAACACATATACTTGCCTTTCAAGACAATTAGAAATCACCTTGAAGAGCACATCCAATAACTGCGAAAGCAAGAGCCCTGTACTTAGATAATATTCCGCAGTCCGTAATAATTCCAGTATACTTAGCGTACATCCATGTACACTAATGCAACAGTCCGAAGTCCGCGTAGTCTCCGTCAAAGACCAAAAAAAAAAAAAAAAAAGGCGAGGAATCAAATCAAAAGCTGCACTGCTAGCGTGCGTTCTGCTGTACCTACCGGTATCGTCGTAAGCTTGCTTAAAGCAGTCTGAGGCGCGCCGGGCGTCTGGATGGGGGGGAGCTTCTTGTCTTGCATGCAGGCAGGCTGGGCGCCCCAACTTTGAAGAGCGCAGTGTTGGGATGTGACAGTATGCCTTACTGTGTGCGAGGGGTCTCCGAGAGTTCCCGGTACTTTCGAAATGTAAAAGCTTGTGAGATGGATGGTCGTTAGCAGACACGGAGGGAGTGGTTTTATACACCGCCCGGTGGACTAATCGTGACTAAACCTTCACTTACCTAACCCAAGTATTCTACAGCATTAATATAATCACAATCCCCAGCCTATCTCTACTAATACCTAGGTGTTATAAGGGTAGTTTTTATAACTGTTTCCTCGTGACTGGCACATGATATCTCGGCTGACGATTTATTTCAATTTTCCCCATATACTTGCCTCATAGTCAACCTGTGTCGACTGCATGTTGCTCTTTGACGCTAAAGTACCGGTAAGAGTAGTAGCATGGATTAGAAATTGTGAAATTCAACCTACTTAGGACACTGCTCAATATTTAAGGCCTTGCTGCAAAATAACTATGACTAGGAAGGGTATAATGAAGTCCTGTATCTATAATACAACTTGCTGTCCATCGGGTCAACTCTCAACCCTTGGGTCTTTGTGAGTCGCTACAATCACATGTTCACATATTAAAGTAGATTTCGACCCCATATCTCAGAGCACCGGATTCTACTGAAACCAAGCATAGATCTTTACTACTATGCTAGTCGCCATTTGATATAACTCATAACCTTGGGACGGTGGAGGAGGCGGAAACGTCAATTCATGCTTATGCTTATTTATTCATGTGGGTGTAGAAGAACCATTTTTAAAACCCTGAAACCTCTGGACTCGTCCAGCATGCCCTTGTCTCCGAAGACTAGTACGCCGAAATCCAGTATAATATGGTTCGCAATTGGGTACATGCTCGTAACGCCATCCCTGGGGCCAACCGTCCTACGCCACGACCACTGTCGTTCTTTATCCCTTCTTCTTGGACACACCGACGGTACGACCGCGGCGGCCCGTTGTCTTGGTGTGCTGTCCGCGGACGCGGAGACCCCAGTAGTGTCGGAGACCACGGTGAGCACGGATCTTCTTCAAGCGCTCAAGGTCCTCACGTAGCTTGCTGTCAACAGCGGATGAGATGGCATGTGAGTTGGTGCCGGTGACGATATCTCTTTGTCGGTTAAGGACTGTGCATCTTGTGAGCTACTGTTTACATCGCTCACATCTTCAGAACCGTAACTTACACCAGGCGGGGATCTTGTAAGCAGCGGGGTCCTTGACGATCTGGACGACACGCTCAAGCTCTTCGGCGGTGAGCTCACCAGCACTATTGACATTGATTAGATCATAGTCAATTTATATGTGGGCCATATCATTTCCTACCGCTTGTTCTTGTCGATATCGGCCTTCTTGAGGATCAAGTCGGCGAAACGAGGACCAATACCCTTGATGGAGGTCAAGGAGTCTACGCTAAGATTAGCTGCTGTACATGAATGCGATAATTTCCGAAAACAAAAAACAAGGTTAAGCCCAAATATTCGCGGTAGTACTCACAGAGGGCCTTTTGCTTGCCGTCGACATTGGTGTTTCTTCAAAACAGTTAGTACGTCATAATATGGACGTTGCCCGTACAAGCTTGGATTGACAACATCATAGCAGATTGAATCAACAGCTAGCTGTGGCATAGTGGGAGGAATAGGAAGGATTCGTACAGAAGACGGATAATGAACTGTAACATATCAGTTAGTGGGCTGTTTAATGTGCACTAGAAATATAGACAGCTCAGGTTCTAGACACATGAGAACGTCTCAAGGCCTGTCACACTGAAGGAACGAATTTAATACTAACCTGAAAGTTCGACTTCTCCCCCGAGACGAGCGACTAAAACACGTATCAGCACTGCCTGCCCTATCAATCAAAAGTGTCGTCCTGTCCAGGCCCTCTAATTCCTATCGCAAATGCTCGAGTGCCAGCCGATGCCGATTTCGTCGGTCCTGTTGACGTCTGTCGTGCTCTCTAATCGCCGCTCTTAATAGTATACTGAGCTGGAAATGCGGACGGATACATCCATCTCATTGTGCGAAAGTTGGCTTGACAATTTGCGACTATCTCGATTCTGTCTGATACTTGTCGAGGAGGCGATCATCGTTTCAACGCGACACAACGGCGGCAGGATGGTCGAAAGGCGGCGCGGCAATCTCGAGCATTTGTTCTAGGAAATATCGAGGCCATTGAACGAGGTGCGGTTGTGTTTCGACTCACCATGGTGACGGCGTTGGGTGTGGTGGACTGTCGATGGAAAGGAAGCGGAAACAGTCCGAGCTACACTTTTCAAGATTTTTGGTAGAGGACGTGGTTTCTGTGTGTGCGTGTGGTCGACGGGTGTCAAAGCTTTTCCGAATCCGAGTTTGTGTGGCTGCCATTTGATTGGATCGTTTTCCAAGGTTGTGGGACTGCCCTAGTGGAGCCCCTCGGCTTATCTTATCGCGCCGTCCTTGTCACTCCACCCCGCCTCCAGTTCTGTGGCTCACTATTGTGGCTTACATTCATATGTGGCTCGACTGGGGACTTACCTAAGTAGGCATTTGGATGAATGGGAATCTCTACTTTGGCAGAAGTTTCTAAACACAACTTCGTATGACATACCCCTTCATTCATTTCTCCTCTTTTCACTTTGTATCTCTTTGGTTTTTTCAGTAGCTGTAGGCGAACTGCGTCTTCGGCCGTACGCGCGTGTAACGACACGAGTGAGTTTCAACTCTCACACACACATCGCACATGTGCCTAAGTAAGCGATGTGGAAGTGAGCGGGTATGACGATCAGAATCCTGGTTCTATCTGAAGTGCTCTAGGTTTCTTTTGTTCATTCATTTTTAGGAAGGTCAGACCCATACATATTTCATTTATATGCTTATCAACGGCCAGAGGCAGGTCAGCCTGCCTAAATTCCTGGCTACGTACCTACTTTCAGCAACACTGGATGTGTACGTCAAGGGAGGAATGTTACTCAAGTAGGTATCTACGTAAGGACCTATGTCGGCCACTTGCAGCCAACAATCAGGCCATCCCTTTGATTGTTGTTTCGGCACTGGGGTACGACGACGGCGTAGCCATCTAGATCTGCACAGTGATTCCTTCTGCCGATGATTGCTGTCTCTGCGTACAATATCCCCAATACAACGGTTCCCAATCGGCCGGTTCCCAATTTCCAACGCTACACTCTGCTAAGAAATTGTTGAAGGTAGCTGTTCCCTGTAAGGCGGCCAAACCTCTTCTGATTGGTTGCGAATCCTTGCTCATTGCTCCTGGCAGATTGTAGCCAGAACAACAGTCAAAGGGATAGTTTGGCCAACACGAATATCTCAAAATAGGTATCAACCAACAGCAAATCCATTTTAACATCGGCGGCATCCGCTAATCGACTTCAAAAACAATCCCAAGCCGGTGCTTCGATTTCTCTAAAACCAGCTTCCACTCATGCCGAGCTCAGACCTCTATCATCGCCTGTGTGCTGATCTTTCCATGTCGTCTCTCCAGCGTTTCTGGAAAAGGGATCGCCATGCCCAACACAACCCTCAGACTCAGTCTCCTCTGTTTACTCTACCAGCCGAGCTGCGGCTCCAAATCTTCGACCTAGTTCTTAACTGCTCGGTCATTTGGCTTTCACTATGTGAGGCTTGGGAAGGACCATACTTGGAACTTGACGAGGGAGGAAACGGCGTGATGCCGCTGAGAGCAACCACCATATATGCTTCCCGCCTGCTGAGCCTCCTCCTGTCCTGTTCTCGTGCGCACGACGAGGCACTTCCGCTACTATATAGTCATAACACCTTTGTTGTCAGCGACTCACGAACCTTACAATTTCTTGCCCGTGGTGTCGGTGCCCCTTACATCACTCGCCTCGAGGTCTTGTTGACCCAGGCTTTCCAATTACCACTAGGGCCATCGAGCTGCTCTCATACACCCTGGATTCGCTGGCCATGGAAGAAGCACCTCAAAATAAGAAAATGGGCTCGACGCTGGGAATCGGTCAAGAAGTTGGAGTCTCTTCAATACTTATTCATCGAACTCCAAGCCTCTAGTGTATTTTGGCAGGAAACCTTGCGTCCGTTTGAATCAGTGATCATAAAGCCACTAGAGGGTTTGCTCAAAGATGGAACAGTTGGCAAATTGCGTCTGTTTTGGGATCGACCTATAGGACACGAAATCGCCGCTGAAGAGGTCTTAGACGCGTGGGCCATCGAACGAGTTGTAGAAGAGAATTGTCCATTACGCAGGCGCTTGGCTGAGAGGCATTCGCGCCAATAGCTAGTAATCCATCCACTTGAAACGATCTAAACAACAACATAAAGTCTTCCAAAACGGTATTCAGCTAGCTAACCCCCGCAACAATGAGATAAATAAACAATTGCTTAAACCGACCAAGTTTGAGTCAGCCATTCCCCAACATCAAAACCGGCCTGCGGTTTTATGATGATACCTTGATTTCCAATGGGAACCGAAATGAAATTTCCGTTCTCGTCGATTGGGCTACCTTGTTTAGCCCAATAGAGTGCGCTAGCGAAGAGCGCCCATGAGTCTGCGTTATTCGCACCTTTGCCGTCGGCCGCTAACGCCTTGCAGTTCTTCCAGCCATAGCCCTTTCGACCGTCCACATCTAGAGAACCTGCAAGTTTTGTGTGCATCATCTCATGTAACATGCATTTGTCCCACAGACTCAACAAATCTATGGGGGTATAAAACTTGTTCGTTATGAGTTTGTCCAGTCCTTTCAGCGCTAGCCTCGCACGAAGAGACGTTATATCCTTAGATGTACCGTACTTTTTGCCTTTCGCGTACTCAAGAAACCAAGGGCAGATTTGAATGGAGTCCCAGTGTTTAGAGAACGTTTGCGTGTACATGAAGGCATTTGCGCAAGGATTGGATGCGCTGACTGCTCGTTTGGCTTTCGTGTCAAAGCGATGGAGAGGATCCTTGATTCTTCTTTTAAGTCGCGATTCATCGCAAAAGATGACCACTTCGTTGATTCCATCACCAAGTGATTCGATACCACCAGTTTTCTCTTGTTCGAATGAAAGGATCCCCGTCCTCTCATGCTTGTTGTTCTCTGGGCCTGGAGCAAAAAGCCCTAGATCTTGTATCAGTTACGAAGTTCATGGACATTGGGTCATATTTCTAACTTTCAACAGCTGCTTTTCCTTCGTTGCCGTGATAATTGAACAGCTGTTGAAATAGCTGATCGGCGTGGGGATCAATTGGGACTGTATTTACTGAAGCCAGAACTATTTCAGCCATACTAAAAGCTTGCTCAACCATGTCCTTGACGAATTGATAATCGGCTACGATGGGTTAGCTTGCATTTTTCTCATCAGAGGAAAACAGAATGTCTTTACCAGCACATGACTCTGGATCAATCATATAACTGTTGACAGTGCCTGCAACACATAGCGCAACACATAGTGCCACGAAATTCATGTGCAGACGCATCGTGAATCTATCGAGAAGTTAATAAACTCGCCAGATATGTAGATCTTTCGGAAATATCACTGACAGAAGACCAACAAAGGACACAAGTCTAATAAGCCCCAATCAAGTAAATTGGACTTAAACCTCTGCGAAAGTGAAGTGAACAAACTTATGAAGCCGGCTGCGAGTTCAATCTAGCTCGAAAGGCACGAAGGTTATATCATCTCAGTATAATAGGCGAAGACTCGCTTAGGTCATGTAATGTGTACCGGTACTTCATGTTTGCCAATGATCCAATATAGGGAGCGCCAACAATTACCGTAGGTCTGGTACAGGATTCGTATCCCTTCATCTCTGAAACCTGGTGTCTCTTGTTACATGCGTGCAAGCTGAACATGCAGTTCGCCTTTCGCTTCGGCCCTACGGAAGGCTATCACAGGCTGTTCATGGTCTTCGGTGATACGCCGGCAATATTGGAGAGTGAGGTTATACAGACTTCGCTTTACGAAACAAGCCAATAAGACTTAGGCGGTTAGGTCTGGCAGACCAGTTGTACATAGAGTCGAGTCAAGCCTCCAAGGCCAAGAAAGAATTGGTTGGTCGAGGACTCCTGCAGCCCTGGTCGATCATTGTTGGTATACCTCTCAGAGGGTGATCATGTTCGCGCTTCATTTATTATCTTACAACAACCTTTGTTGGCATATATAGCAGTACTACTAGGTATTTGAGTACCCGGTGCATCGGGTTTTACTCACAACCTTGCGTATTTTTAGAACTAGATCATACCATAGTTCCAGTGACATAGGGCCGAGAAACACATCACCGTCTTGTGTTGCTATCAAATCTTATCATAGCGCCTTATCATCGATTTCGAGCGGATAGCTTTGCTCGACAAGGTGTCACCATCACGCCTCTTTCTTATATTCAATCCATGATCTTGCTAGTTCTTATACTAATTATCGGCAGATTGGTAGACAGTCATGATCATACTGCGTTGCTATTACATGAGAGGGCGGACTTTCTTTGTGCCAGGGAATAGTAGCTAGTGTTTCTCATGATGATTGCTAGTTTGTACAATCATTGCATCAAGGAACAGTTTCATTTTCTATCAAAATTGACGACTATGAAGGCCTTCATGAATATCTCCTTGAAACACTTAATTTCAGCGGCAGCGTTTCTCTCACGCTATAGGTCTGCAGCCAACTAGCACCACCCTATCATGTCGTTTTCGATATAACTCGCTTTTCCCGAATAAAATCACCCGAATAGCCCGTCAGGCGATTGCTTAAAATAGGGTAGAAACAATTCACGACGCTTATAACACGCGCAGGATGCCCGGTTACTGTTTGGTTCAGTTGGCTGATCATTCCGGCCGCAGTACAATTCTCTAGCCAACAGGACAAGATTAATTTCTGTGATGAGTGGTATATCGTTGGATAGAGCTAACCACTCAGATTACTTAATCATCCTCTCCCTTCATCACCAATCGGTCATTGGCTTTGGGCCTATATGAAACACAATAGAACTAACAAACATTGTGGAACTGTTAGGACTAGGATCCGTATCTTGTAATCCTTCGCATATCAATACCAGGATAGGCATGACTACCCGTGTAGTTGTTTGCACATTTGTAGATAAGTCGTTTTCGTAGACAACGATCGTTGGTGTTACCAAGCAAGTCACGATGGAAATGTTCTGTCTAAAAAGCCCGAGACCAGTAATAGTGGTATATTATATATAACCCAAACGAAGCGGCGGTAATTACGACCTAAGTTCGACTGAAAGAGCTTCCTACTCTTAACGGTAGGCCTACGAATCTATACCCTCTTGAGCCCCTAGACTACACCTGATTATTCATACTCAAGAATTGGTGTTAGTGCGAGATGAAGGGAAAAAATATGATGTGGCTCGGTGCGACTCTGGTTTTCTCTGTCAGCGTGATAGCTGCCTCTGACAGCACATACATCACAACTGAACCAAGTCTACCCGAGCCTTCTGCCAATGGTATCATTGCCGCAATCACCCCAACATCTGCTGGTCAAATTGGTATAAACCCTGTTGCGGCAGAACTTGGTAACCCGAGTGACTATGTGCTCACAGACTTTGGTCCCAATAACCATGTGGTAACATGGGATGGGCAAGTATACCACGTAAGTATCCAAGCGAGGTGAACACTTCTGTTAATACTTACCAATTCTGCTGCCATAGTACATAGAAGGTCATACGGGTTACCTCTCTCTTGAGACGATAACTACTACAGTCGGGTCCAAGACATCGACCATGACCTCGTCGGTTAAGGTCGCTGTCCAAACCTTACCAGCGGGTGGTTCCGGGCTTACGTTTTCAGAAGACATCGGGGATGCTTTGCGGAAGTCTGCCGATGCTGCCAACGCGGTATGTGGAGCCAAAAAAAGAAGCCTAAGGAGGAGCTTTGACTGTAAGACTCCCTTGTCTCTACGTCTTTCTATATGAATCCTTTAGTTGACAGAAGGAAGCAACTTCGTGTTTAATTGATGCGGCTGTGGAGGCGAGTGACGTGGAGGGACCCCTTAAAGGCGCGGCTACAGACTCATGGTGGGAGTTACTAGAGATCGACATTGCGCAGCATGCGCCCGAGTATCTTGCTAGTGCCGTCGCCGTTTTGAAAAGTCAGGCACGGAAGAAGAAAACATTAGCCATCGTGAGCCTCTTTCTCACTGGTTGGGTTGCGAAGCATGGCCCGCTTGCGGGAGTTCGTGTACCGCCGGGAGGCGTCGGTAAACCCGATGAGGACAAGACAAAGTGTGATTCTAGCTTGCCTGCTGGCCAAGGTACGTCCATCGTGACTCTGAATCGAAACCCAATAGATTAGCCCGCTTATCCCGCATTATAGACTCTCCTCTTTGCCAGGATAAGGATTGCCAAGGAAAGGAAGACACTCAAAAGTGCACCACTGGACAAGGAAAGGGCTGCGCATGTCTTCTCCTCGGCGTGGACGAGCCGCTGCAGTTCTACGAGCGGACTTGGTGGGACCAGCAAGAGGCTATCATCTCATCAGTCGCCGCGAACCCTAACCTGCTTGGCAAGCCGACGCCGTCTTGCTCTCTCAACAGTGCTGGCACGGCTTTTGACGGCAAGCCAGCTAAAACGCCTGCAGCGTGGTGTGTATGTCGTGACAGCAACACCGAAAGGTTGTATGCCACTGTTGATAATCCATCTTCCCCGTGCGCTTACACAAGTCTCCCAACCAATACGATCTCTCCCACGCTTACTGCTGTGACTGGCGTAAGCGTGACTTCGTGCCGTATGGAGACGAATACACCATCTGCTTCAGTTAAAGAGTCCGTATGGTGCACGTGCAACGACAATGTGAGGTATGGAGTCACGACCCGGACGACATCCGGCTCGACTACGGTGGACTGTCTGACTCCAACACCGACGAGAACATCTACCACGCCAACGACACCATCCGCCACACCAACACCAACTTGCGACTACCCAAAGCCGAAAAAGCAAAAAAAGAAGTTCACAATTGAGCAGGAAGCATTTATCCCAGCAGCCGAGAGGTTCTGTAGCGACAACAATAAGGGGTACCTTCGAGATCTTAGCGGCGGTTCGTATGGCAATGTTCTATCCGAGTACTTCTCGACTGGTGCGAGCAAGGGTGGACAACTCTATCTCTATGCGTTCCTCGACAAAGGCTGTAAGGGCCCGACTTTCATCAACCAAGACGATTGCATGGCAGCATATCATAGCATCTTCGACCACTGTGACGTCGGGGCGGCGATGCGGCTGGGCGGTGCTGCCAGCATCAATTGTCAATGGTTCAATATCACTGCTGAGGACAAATGCGTTGGAACTGACGAGAGCATTTTGCACCCCAAGAAATGCCCCATTGGGTATCCGCTTGGCTATGAAGACTGGCCGATGGGGTTCATCCCGTCTTGATCTACTACGTAGAGTATATAGTATATCATTTCTGATCTTGTATATTTCACATATTACTGAACGTTATGAAGCACTTTTGTAAATGATTTCACAAACCTCATGTCGAAGATGGAATAAAATTCGGTACATATGAGCTCACCAACCGTGATGCTTGTACTGTCTTCAGTGGGGGATTATACTCACTCGTACGAGAAGAACCGGCTACAAAGTATTACCTATTCACTACAAACACACCCCGGAGTACCATTAGCAAAGAGTATCGGGTACGAGATGGGAGACATTCGAGAACTGTGCACAGCGCACCGTGTTTCGGGCACCGGTAGCCTGTCGAGCCCTGGTCTAGTCCTAGCGCTGCCATGCTTTGGATACGTTGGAATACTGCTTGGACATCTGGACAGGCAGACAAGGGGCCTTTAGTCCGAAGCCGCAACACAACATCAGCACACCTGCAGCATCAGACCAGGAGCCCACCCCGGCCGCCCGGTCGCTACCTAAACCGTTGGCGGGGGTGGACAGGGTGGACAGGGTGGATAACTTCATGGACCAGGTGGAAAGATGGAAAGGTGGGAAATGGTGGGCAGGAAGATCTCTGGCGTGACTCGGCGATAACGGCCAACTCTAACCCATCGAGCCACCAAGTAAGTACTTAGTATCCTGCGCGCCCGTTTTCTCCCGCCCGCGATTGCTGCTTGCTACTCACATGTTTGCTTCCATCTCCTCCTCCACCTCTTCATTTACAAAACACCGCTCAGTTGGAATAGAAACGCCCGGTCTGGGGGTTAGACTTGCTTCCAGCACACGCTGCTTGATTGAAGAAAGTCATTGAAAATCTGCTGTCTTCCCCCATTGCTGTCGCCCTAGAATCGAACTCGTACTATACCCACGAATACAACTACGACCGAAGCTACCTAGCTTGCGATAAATTATTCCCACCTTGGCCTCACCCACCTTTAGCCGACTGTCAAGATATATCTCGACTGAGTTTATTAACTCATTGTCTCCCTATCTGCCGTCGATTCAATCGAGCCTTTTTTTCTTTCTTTCTAACGGATTCTCGCCATCTTCCGATACCTTTCTCTACACCCTTTAATACCCCACGACCATGTTCGCAACTCGCGCTCTTCGCCAGGCAACTGCCCACGCCGCTGAGCGTACACCTATGATTCGCTTCATTGGCAAGCGAGAAATTCCTTGTATGCATTCTAATATTCTGTACTCTCTCGGCTTGCGATTTTTATTCTATTTTCATTTTTACATAATGCACCACCCTTCAGTCTCTCGCTTGTTGTTGGTCTCAGGATACTAATATGACTTCATAGCCAACATCGACCACTCGCCTCATCCACACCCGGCCTCCCCAACTGGCTCCTTGCCGGCCAACTTCGGCAACACTCACAAGACATTTTCCGCCTACCGCGACTCGGCCCAGCAACATGGACCTCTACGCAAGTCGCTCGGTTCAATTCCTGCCTCCAAGCTAGGGCCTATCGAGGCGCCCAAGGGCCAGTTCTTCGACCGCAGCGAGCTTCCCGAGCGCTTCCGAAGAGTGCCCTTGACCCTTGCCGAGATTGAAGCCATCGAGACTGGAGGAGCTACCCTCATTGGTTGAGTCTCTCTTGCATCTGCAAGAGAGACGAGCCGGTCATTGTATGAGGAAACGACGGCATATTGTGATTTGTACGATGAACGACGTTGTAATACCACGACATCGGGACAGGCGGCTTGAGAATGAGTGAACACGGATATTAAGGATTTTAAGCCCTATGTGAAATTGAACGACCTTTAGACGGTTGGAATCACTAAGACGAACCTGGAAGAAGGTTATAGGATGCTGGCGGGGCGCTAGCTCCATTCCCAAGATGTTTCGGCGGGCGCACATCGATGATTTGAGAGGTATACCCTCCCCTACAATACTCAATTCCTTCAGCATGAGCATGGTATGGGAAAAGCCTAAATTGTTTTCGGGGCAGGACAAAATGTCCTATAGTCCTTGGTTGGCATTGGCGAATGGGCGACCGCACAGCTAGACATTGTGCTGTTGCTGTTGATTTTTCACGAGTATATAAATGCGCATTGAACTTGTCAATCTTGACTGTCATCTGAATTGTTCCATTCTCAGTCTATCACTTACCACCCTCGCGCACCTGAGGTATTTGTAGTTAGAAGCAATTTAGTCAATGGATCTTACGACTCTTACATGCCCTAATAATTCTGGTCTTAGTATGAACTTCAAAGATTGAATCAATGCCCTATAAGCAAGATCTAAGCCAGGTTGAGAAGTTCCAAAATAGTAAATTTCGCTCTACTGTGATTCATGTGCCAGGTGATGCGGCTGGGCAAGGACAAGTGCAGACAATCGAAGTCCCGTGATTTCGCGACCGCCGAACTCCAATTCAATTAAAAAAACGGCAACCCCACGTCATATGTCTCTTAGCAACGCGTTCGTTCCTCCCTTTTCACATGCAAGCATATCGCAATTTCCACCGTTTTTCTTCCTCCAAATGCTCAAGCTTGTCAATTTTCAGAATTCTAGACAAAGCTCTTCCTCTGCATTCGAAACTGTGTATACGATTGATGTCCGATATGGCAGGCTCGCCACCGCCCAGCAAAGATGGCGGTGCGAGCAAGCGAAAGGCGACTGACAAGCCTATATCGCCGCCCCCTGTCAAGCGCAAGGGACAGAGCGCCATCTCTAAGGGTGCCGTAGCTAGCTTCTTCACTCCGACGTCACAAAAACCGAAGGATCGCACCGTCTGGATGGAGCGAGGCAAGGACTCGTCTCCTGCTACGCTGCTCGTGGGCCGCTTTGAGCCGGAGTCCGGGGAACCGCAGGATAGAAAGAAGCGGAGGAAGATTGCCGCGTTTGATCTCGACTCTACGCTTATCGTCACCTCGTCTGGAAAGAAATTCGGTAATGATCCTGCCGATTGGAAGTGGTGGGATCCGTCGGTTCCTACGCGATTGAGAAAGATGTATACGGAAGAAGAGTAAGGCAATCGATCTATTTCCTTGGCGGATATGGGATGGGTGTTCCGTCACAGCGAAGGCTACCAAGATAGCTTACTCCATCGATTCCACCTGTGTAGCGGAAATAATTGAGCGGCTAACGAAGATAAATACGCAGTTACCGCGTCGTTATAATCAGCAATCAAGCTGGCTTGACTCTCCACGTGGACCCAAATTCAAAGGGGCCCAAGAACGCTGGGAAAGCTAAGGTAGCCAACTTCAAACAGAAGTGTGCGGCGATATTAGCACAGCTCAACATACCAACATCCGTTTACGCTGCTACGGCGCGGGATGAATACCGTAAGCCCCGCATAGGGATGTGGAAAGAACTCTGCAATGACTACGATATCCCAGAGGACGAGGTCGACTTACAAAACAGCGTCTTCGTGGGCGATGCAGGTGGGCGTACAGCGCGTGTTCTTAGCGAGGGCGGCGCGACAGCCAAGGACTTCAGCTGTTCGGATCGCAATTTTGCGCATAATGTTGGTATCGCGTACAAGACACCGGAGGAATTCTTTTTAGACGAACCGCCACGCGAATTTGCGCGTGATTTTGACTTGGCGACATATCCCTATGAGCAAGAGGAAGAAGGAAAGGAGAAGGAAGTCTTGTTCGAGAAGACAAATAAGCGAGATATTGTGCTGTTCTGTGGTCCGCCAGGTGCCGGCAAAAGCACATTTTACTGGAAACATCTCAAACCCCTCGGCTACGAGCGCGTGAATCAGGATACTCTGAAGAGCCGAGCTAAGTGCTTCAAGGCTGCGGCTGGGTTCTTGGAGGATGGTTGTCCGATTGTCATAGGTGCGTATCAAATTGATTCACTATAGTTTGGATTACGTCCCACTTCATCATTCTGCTTCTCGTCTGTTCTGGGCCTGGCTAACTCTGGCCTGGGTAGATAACACGAATCCTGATCTGGAGGGGAGAAAGGAGTGGATTGAGCTCTCGCGGAAACATGACCTTCCCATCCGCTGCGTCTGGTTCAAGATCCCGAAGGCACTCTGCGAACACAACGATGCCGTGCGAGCGTTGAATAAATGCGTAAGTGAAATCTCCAACCCCCACCCCCCCCTTTCCCATCTATGACTTCCTCTCTTTCTTTAGCCAAATACAACATCGTATATCTCCTGGCATTGCCCAGAAACCTCGAACTTGCCTAACTATCTATTTTGTCGTAGTTGAATCCCGAAACACGCTCTGCGCTGCCCCCTCTCGCATTCAATGGATTCTTCTCGCGTTTGCGCGAGCCCACGGTGAAGGAGGGATTCCAGCACGTCTTGCCCATAGAGTTCAAGTTTCGCGGTACGGAGGAGGAGTACGCAATATGGGCCCAGTACTGGAGCTGATGTATATGTTTTCAGTGTTTGATGTGAAATAATAATGTGGTGGCATTGCTACCTCCCTCCCCTTGTTGTAAATCACAGCGAGCTTATATTTTGAAATATCCCCTCAGTGATATACACAACTTCGCTTGTAATTGAGCAGCGTGGAAGATATATATCATTACTTTATGAATCTTTGGAGACACTCGAGTTCTGCCCGGTTAAGCAATTGGGAAAGTACCTTGCCACAGAATAAAAAGCAACTGGGTAATAGCTACAGACTCATGTAGATAGAACACTAAGGATCAAGTCGCCCATGAGGACTGAGCATAATAGCCAACGAGATGATAGATTCAAAGTCATTAGACGACCAAAAATCCCACTAACAGTTAGCTACAATAGAATAGGGGGTATCTCAAAACTCCAACTCCTCGACCTCCATACCACACGTCGTACACGTCTTCACAGTAGCGCCGTCTTCATTCTCAATGACACGACCCCATTCATGAACATGTTTCCCGCCATCGGCCACAGCATCGCCGAACTTGGCCTTCTTCCCTCCACCCCTACTACTACTACTACTATTATCGAATCTCCCCTGTCCGCGCAGGTACGCGTCCGTGCGCGTGCGTTTCTTGAGATCGAGGAGCTTCTCTTTGAACTTGGCTTCCTTCCGCCTCTTCTTGTCGGCCTCGCGGCGCTCGAACTCGGCGTCGAGAGCCGAGGCCGAACCCCATTTCTTCGAGCCGAAGGCGTACTCCTCTACCTGGTATCGCAGGAAGAGCATCATGTCGTGCCAGTGCGACTTGTGCGGGTTCGGGCGCGAGAGGTGCGGGAGGAGATCGGAGTCGCGGAGTTCGGCTGGTGGACTTGTTAGATAGGGTGTTTTGCTTGGCGGGGTTGAGGATGAGAGATTGTGTCTGCGGGTAGATGTAGATGGAGAAAGGAGGATGAAGTAGGGTGTAGGGAATAAGGGGGAGGGGAAGGCGTGGAGGATGAATATAGGTAGACGCACGATCTGTCAGGAGATAATCCTCTCTGCACTCCGTCTTCGTCAAAAGACTGTATTTCTCCGGATACTTCTCCTTGCACGCATTGCACACAGCGCACCCGAAGACCTCCTCCCACACGAAGTCGATCTCGAGCGTGCCGCATTCCCGACACTTCTTCCTCTCCTTCTCGTCCGTCAGCGCGCTCAGCCCCGGCTCGAAAGGTCCGGCCTTCTGCCGCCGCAACTTTTTCAGGAGCTGTAGTCTCTCCCACTCCTGCATCGTCATGCCTTTCGGCCGCTGCTCTTCCTCGGGCCCTCCTTTGCCATCTGCTTTCCCTCCTGCTGCGCCGCTACCACCTGGTCCCGACATGGCTTTGTTCCAGGGGTCGTCCTCAGCGCTGAGGAAACCACCTTTTGTGTCTGTCATCTTCCCTAGGTCGTAGTCGACGAACTTGGTGAACTTCCGCGCCGGCCGGATGGCCCCGTCGTCCTTCGCTGCTGCTGCGCCATCTTTCGCCGGGGACGCGCCGTTAACGCGGCCATCGCGGCTTGTAGATGGGACTTCGCGCGCCTGCACTGTCGCGCTGGCTATGGCGTCGTAAGGTCGCTTGCGAGTGTTGGGGATGTGGATTTCGTCTGTGGCGATGAAGCCGGAGGGCGTGCGGTTTTGCGTAGGGACGCCGGCGGCCCGGGCGGCGGCTTCTTTCTGATCTCTTATCGCTTTGGCTTTTAACCTATTTTCTTCCTGGTGAAACCCTTGTGTGAGTAGGACAAGCCTTGCTTCGATTCGTCATTGGACGAGAGACTCACGATGCGACGGGTGACCTCTGGTGTAAGTGGAGATGTAACGGCTCCCGAGCCGGTTGCGGCGCGGGGAGGCGTCGAGGGACGCTCCATAGTCCCTGGATGTCGAAGGTTGATGCTACTCGTAAACTAATCAAAAAATCATTGCAAGGAAGAAAGCTAAGACTAGGTATCGCAGATGCACAATAGTGTTACAGGAAGAAGAGGCGTGAGTTAGAGCATGATACAGTAGAATTAGGCAGACTAGCTGGTTAAAGAACCGGTGACGTCGGAGGTCTTAGCAACACTTTGCGCCACTTCATGTTTTTACCTATGGTGCTTGTAAACGTGAATTATAAGGAAATGCCCCCCTTTCATATACTTTTTCTCTTTACAACATTATCATCAAGCAGCGGTCTAATACTGTTGTTTTATCAAGTTTTCACGATCAAGGTTTGTCCAGGTGCTTGGTGTCATCTGCATCCCACGTATAGTTAAAGATGATGAATGCTAAATGGCGTAAAGGCCAAATGTAGTATTATTATCTAATTATCCGCGCTCATGATCAAGACCTATCGCAATGATGTTGTATGTAGGCCCGTAATACAATATTCGATTTGATCCTAAACCACAATTGAATCTACTCGTCCTTGACACCTCCGCGACCGGCACGCTCGGCAGCCTCAACAGCCTTCTTATCGCTCTGTGCAGCACCGCTCTGTAGGCCACTCATCAATCCGGCAGCGGCCTTGAAGGGACGCTTGAGATCGCCACTAGCGGGCTTGCCGAACAAGTGGATCTGGACGAGGTTGGCCTCGAACGCGCTCTTAAGAGGAATGATAGACTGGATCAGAAGGGGGTTCGTGTATTTCATGTAGAGGTGCATGAAGCACATCATGCCGATGCCCATGAGCTGTGATCGGAAGGAAGCCTTGGCTTGCTGCGTATCGTACGCATGGACTGTCGTGGTCACGAGCTTGCCCTCTTCGGAGGATCCCATGGGTGCAGGCTCAACATATTTGAGGGTTGTCAGATCTACAGAAAAGCAATTAGCATGCACATCGCGTAGCAATATTCGGCGCATATGCGCCCGGTATACTGCGCAGTTCGTACCCTTCTTCTTATTGATCTGTAACAGGACGTAGCCGTAGATGGCGGCAATGATCAGGTTGCTGCCAATGTACAGGGCTCGGACGCCGTTAAGAACCGTCGGATCGTCGAAGGGAATCTTCTTCGATACCTGCATCATTCCGAAGATGATGACCAGGTTAATTCTATCGGGCACATCGAGTCGTTAGCAGAGCGAATAAAGAGAGATGAAGGGTAATCGTCGGATTGGGCCTCACGACTTACATTTGGGGACTGAGGCCGGCCATTTTTGCGATTTGTGATTTCAGCACGAGGACACTTGCGATGAGAAGAAAAGAATGGCGAAAAGAGTCAAAAGGCCACCTGAAGAAGTAAAAAGAGAACAAAGGTCTGCTAGGGGAAGCGAGCCTTGAGGCGCAAATATGTCTGCTCCGCTGTGGGTGGGAGGGAAGTAAATGGAGAACGATGGAAAAGGATCGGAAACTTTTCAATTGGCAGCTTTGAACATGCTGAGGCCCAGGTTAAACTGTGAGGAACCCCTGAAAGCAGGTCCCTAGGGCAGTACTAGGGCCCCTAATGGGGTGGACTTTACAAGTAGTTGGGGCGCTCAAGCTACGCTAAAGGTCACTAATCATGCTAGATAGCTGCTGTATCAGATAAGTGGCGAAAAGGACACTTGTTCTACGGTAGATGTCTTCTATGCATTATTTCTGCTCCAGGTCTCAGCCTCTTTGTCGCCCACGCATCCCGGAGTCGATGCCTAACGGACACGCCGTTGTTGCCAACATCAATGAAGATGGCTAGTTCATTAATTAAGTTGGTAGGTAGGTAAGCAGACAGCTACGATCCATACCAGGTGTCTAGACGAGTTTGTGGCGCTCTATGCTTGTGCTCACCACTCCCGTCACTGCCTGGGGATATACATCTACGTATGAGCATCATAATCCAACCTCTCTTGGGAGACAAGGAGAAGTATCCTCAAATGTTTTCCCTTCTACCTGCATTATAACAGCTGGGTTTGATACGTTTCGTGATGAGACCAAATTCATGATTGCTTCAGCCTACAAACCACTTAGGCAAACAGCGCGACATGTCTTGCATGCCTACCTTTCTAAGCATGACCACTGCTGCTTCTTTTCAAGCTGGTCTCATACAAGAATGTAGTCATCAATACCGGTCGTGAGATTTTTGCAACGCTGGTAAGATTTAAACCTGCAATTTCCCAGTTATGGAATTGTTCTGTGTTCGTTCCAAACCTCGCTACTTTCGAGGGTGCCAAAGCAGGAAAGAAGACCGCAAGGGTGAGAAGAAATCATCCATCATTTACGTTGAAGCTCGACTGAGAGCTGCGATAAGGAATCCGACAGAGACACGTCACAACCTCACTGTGATGGTTCACCCAAATGTCAGCACAGAGTCCTTGGCATCCAGCCAGGAGCAACATAGTCGCTATAGCTCTTGTCGCTCACATCTCCTCGGTCCACTAGTTCACAACTCGAGCTGCAACCATGATTCTGACTCCGAACGGGGTAGACCGGGAAGACCAGCGCACGACAACTCACCGCAGTTACCCCAGGTCAGCCAAGTCTACGTCCACCCATATTCCACTCATCACTATCGATTCCCTGTGGTTGATCACAGTACAACCTGCCACGGTCATCGCTTAACTCCTTGTCCGGTCTACTACACGGCGCTCGTCCCCGAAGTTGCAGCCATACAAGATGTTGTAGCTGCGTTAGTCGACCATCCGGGCCAAGTAGGTATGGTTAGACTGCTGGGAACTGATGAATTAGTTCACCTCAGTACATTTCACTGCATCAGAATTCTTCACGAGGTTTCATTGCAGCTCGAGGTCTGGGATAGTGTTGATCTGGTGAATAGGGTGTGAAGAATATTGATTAGAGAAACGACAGCTGGGGGAGACGGGACATCGTCACTTCAGGTGCCTACCATTACATTACGCCTGTTGCAGATCCGAGTGAGACGAGGTGGCCGTTCACATCGTTCAGCATGTTGAACAATATTGGCACAGAATACCAGGCTCACATCAGAAACACATAGAGCAATTAGCCCACAGCGGCCGAACAACAAAATGAACTTCATTTTTGCTCAATCTACACCCTTTCAAATCTACCGAGAAAAAGTAGTGAAGTTTACCTAGGTACGTAATACTCTAGGTAACATCATCATCTATACTACGACGAATCATAGGTGGCTGGGACTTCCCAAGCTTGAGGCGCTCATGTAGTTCAGCGTCCTTTTTGCAACATGCCTTTTCATACACACTTCTAGGGATTACGAGCGTACCATCGCCCCCGAGGCTCTGGACCCAATTAGACTCGTCCTCCGCTACTTTTGCTATAGGCTTTCCGCTACTAGAGATTATAGCTAAATCCCACGGAGCCGGCTCGTTGTAGCACGATGTTGCGCCACAGTTCCGAAGCTTCCACTCCAACCACGAGGCCTCGGCACAACTTCTCTGGGGCTGTTTAGTCAATATGTCTTTCTGTCGGAGCATGTATACCACAGATTCTTGCACATCCCTCGATACCATACCCCAGCCTCGTAACAGCTCCGTTGCACTTTGCAACCACGAGGTCCAGTCTTCTATCTCATCAGGCCCATTCAGAATGAACTGCTTCCGTAGCCAGGGCAGCATTTCCTTCGTTTTCGCGTAGAATCCTTGCAAACTCTCCAGGCGCCCCTGTAGCATGACGAGAGGCATCGAGGGGTATGGTCCGATGATATGCCCTACCCGTGACAATTTTGGTAGATCTTTAATGAACAACAGTTCCAGCCTCCTTGCTTCGCGTACGTGGCTTAGTTTAGAATCCCAGTATTTGAAGAGATTGGTATGTATTTGGGTAAGCTCTTCCGTTATACCGCGGGCAATAAGGACGACTGCCTCCCGGAACTCCTTGTCGGGAAATACGTTTGTTGAATTGTCATGTGTACCGTTTACGATAACGGGTTCTTCGTTATGCGCCGAGGAGTTGGTAGGTTGTGCCTTGAACAACCTCAAGCTGTCAAGTTTCTGCATCAGGGTGTCCCAATTGACTCCAAACGACTTCGAGCTGGCCCTATATAGAGGTTCTCCGTCGATGTAGACGCGCATCAGCACGTTTTCTCCCACCATATTGTATAAGATGCGTTCGCGGGCCTCCAAGAACTTTCGAAATTCCAAATCGCTGAGTCGTATGCGTATCTTTCGCTCTTCGATATGGTTCTTCATTTCCTCGTATTTCTTCGGATCACCAAATTTCTCGGGCGGTACTTCGAGAAAAGCCTTGTCAAGTGTGTCCGTGATGTCGTGCACGTTGTAGTACCAGGTGTCGTACTCGTGCATCGTCGACACAATGGGGTCAAAGTTATCCCAGAAGTCAAACATCCTCATTCTATCGCTCCTGTTCGACGACAGTAGATGTCCGTCGGGCGGCGGTTCCTCTACGGGTTGCCTGTGGAGGTCATTGCTTACGATTAGAAGACCAAATGCCACAATAATGGAACAGAGAATCAATGGCTCCTGAAAGCAAGCAACCAGTCGCGACCGCGGCTTGTTACGGCGCTGCCTCCTGGATTCGCGTCTTCGGTTCTCCGGATTGTCTTCTCTAAAGTATGTTGCCATTGTAGACAATGGAAATCTATCAATGTCCTGAGATACGACGAGGCAGTTCGTCGTCGCTAGACTTGTGAGTTAAATCGAGCACGGCTGGCGAACTCATAGCTAACTAGGGGTGTACTAATGGATGTACACTACGATAACATTTCGCTATGAAAGTTTCGGGAGTTGTATCTATTCCCGAATAATAGGTATCGTTTTGAAATTACCATTTGGTTGTTTGCGGAAGTTGAGAGCCCCCTTTGTTTTGCCTCTTTGTGGGCACTAACACCCTTCACAGACAACCTCTTGGTATCTCATCATCCACATCGGACATATGTTTTCATTAAGAAGAATTAACACAATAGTATTAATGCATGGCATTTGTCTTCATGGTCCTATCTCTGAAAAGGAATTATGATCAAGTCCCATACGGTGATACAGAATGGCAATATCCGATAGTAACATATAATTAGCATCAAGTTATGAGAGTTAGCTGAACAAAACCAGGTAAATAGACCGTTCCGAAACTATTCCGCTACGCTAGATGCGTAGATTCTACTCAACTTGATAGCAGCGCATTTGATCCTATTATGAACGTAATATTTTGAGAGTGTCATGTAATTTACAATCTATATATCGTGATCCAATTTCCATCAAGCTTATCTTCCCTTCATTATCATATCCGACGAATACCATAAAAAGTCCCACAAATACTTGTAGATGCAAATCAATCAAAGACATCAGTAGCATACCGGACATTCCTCAGTCCCTCCCACCACTGCGCCACCCTCTCCTCGGAAATCTCCTCGCCCTTCGCCTTCTGTCCCTCCAGCACCATCTTGATGACAGCATTCTTGATGCCGTCACCGATAGCGCGCGAACCACACGTGTACAATCTCGCATTCGCATCCCATAGGGGAACAATCTCGTCCTCGTGGGCCGCGATCAAGTCCTGCACATACTTGGCGCCGTTGGATTTGTCAGTGGCGCGGCTGTACGCGCGCTTGACGGTTACGGCACCGGCCTTCTCCCACGCCTCTAGCTCCTCGGCGTACAGGTCGTCGCGCCCTGGAGCCCGGCATCCGATCAGTAGCATCGCGGGCGCGAGCTTGCGGCCCGCGGCAATCATCTCGGCGCGCTCCTGGATGAAGCCGCGGAAGGGGCTGATGCCGGTGCCCGCGCCGATGCAGATCACGGGGGTGTTCTCGGGGTCCTGCGGGAGGTGGAATGCGGCGTGCGACTTGCGCACGGTGACGTGCAGCTTATCGCCTGCTTCGAGCGAGTCCAGGTACGACGAGGCGACGCCTACGTGGGTGCCGTGGCCGGATTTCGAAGGCGCCTCGAGCACCGCGAACGTCAGCGTGACGTGGTTCGGGTTCCAGAGTGGAGAGGAGGATATGGAACTGCGGAGTGTTAGTCGAATACGCCTTATTGTTCATCTCGGAGTTGACTTACTATTGTCGTACGCGCATGGGCGGAAGCATCGCGAGGAATAATCCGAGGGGCAGCTCGATGGCAGGGAACTCCTCCAAGAGATCGAGGACCGAGACGCGCTTGTCTTGCACCTCTGAGTACTTCTCATTGGCGTATTTCTTTAGGGCATCCTTGTCTTCGTCTTTCTGCGCTGCTTCTGCGAGGGCGAGAATGTTCTACACTAATGTTAGCAATTGCTTCTCCTCAAATGTGATAGTACTTACCCTCTTCGTTGCTGGCTGAGCCAACTCGACATATGCACTAAAGATGCTGTGTGCCGGCATGGATGTATTTGTGGGTAGTTGCGTGCTTGCAGCGCCGCCAATTGTGATGTGGGCATCCCATGGTAGCTGGAATCGTCTCATAGCGCGCTGAACGACGACTTTGGGGTTGATCGGGAGAACAGCAAGATAATCACCTGATCGGTATGTCTGTCCGCTAGGGAGAGCGATCTCGATGTGCTTCTTGACGGGCTCACCGTCTGCCGTTAATTTCCGCGTTTCAACTACGAGCGCTTCCATAACGTCTTGACGAAGGGCCGATGTTCGTGGGCTTGTGATCTCTACGTTTAGACACGTAGACTGCGTAGCCTCATCATGGGACTCGCCGGCGCCATACTTTTGATGAAGTGCTGGCCAAAGGATGTTGTCTTCCCACGTCTCGAAGTCTGTGAACGTATCGCCTGACCCAGTATCTGTCAGGCCCATCTCTGCAATGCGGGTAGCACCATTCTCTTCAAGCTTGGTGTCAACGAGTTTCGGGACGCGGTGGAATGTCTGGACCCAGTCATGATGACCTACACCGAAGACAGCGTAATCTACTCCTTTTAGCAAACTACTGTCTTTGGAGCCTGCTAGCCAAGATGTAAAGAGAGCGGCATTGTCGGGGGGCTCTCCCTCGTACGATGCCGTGATAATGACGACCGGCTGGTTTTTGGGAATTGCGCCGTTGGCTGAGTCTAAGCAGTCAACCTTGTCTACGGTAAAGCCGTGACGAGAGGCGTCGTTGGCTACTCGTTGAGCCAATGACTCGCAAGTACCGCTATTGCTGCCGTATAGAACGGTCATGCGCTGCCCCATGACTGACGAAGCTGATGAGCCCTCGGCTTGCAGCTTCGAGGATTCTTGCGAGGGGCCACTACCAGCTAGACGATGTTCTAACTGGGTTGGTGACATGCCATCGCGCAAGATGGCGCGCATGAGGAAATTATCAGGCTTGATAGTCAGGGTTTGCTTGATGGTTAGGTTGTAATTAGGGTCGTGCAAAACGAAGTTGAAGTTCTGGAATAGCATGGCCATAGCTAGGATCGCTTCTTGCATGGCAAATGGGCGACCAATACAAGCACGAGCTCCATTTCCGAATGGCTTCCATGCGTTCTTCGGAAGTTTGCTAAACGGTTCGTCTAACATCCGCTCCGGCTTGAACTCGTTGGCGTCATCACCCCAAACGGCTGGGTCGAGATGAGCCTTGGCCAGGAAGAGCGTGCACGGCTCGCCCTTAGACACAGGATACCTCCCGGCCAGTAGCTGATCTTCATTGGAAACTACACCGAATATGGGGATGGGTGAATCAAGTCTTAGTGTTTCGCGCAGAACCTAAATGCTTAGCCGGTGATCTTTTCTCGGTTGACAGTTTTGGGTACATACTGCTGTTATATAATGCAGCTTAGGCAGATGTTCGACGGTGATGGGACCTTTTCCAATAACCTCATCGACTTCCTTCTGCACCTTTTGATACGCCTCCGGGTTTTTCACTAAGCGGTAGAAAGCGAAAGACAGGGTACCTGATGTGGTTTCATGACCAGCGACCAGGAAGGTAATAAGATTGTCGATGATGCTCGAGTCGCTCACTACAATTGCTGGAGTCAGTGACTACTCTTCTACATAGAATGGGAGCTGGTTCCAGGAGTTATGTGTACTCCTAAGATATCCTTGCGGCTTCTTACGGCCTTCACAAGTGTCTAAGAGAATGACTGCAGGGGTAACGTACTATGCTTTCCGGTCTTCGGGTCAACGCCATTGAGCATAGCATTTAATAAATCCTTGCGGTTATTGGGGTTCTTTTTTCTTGATTCGAGGACTTCCTGGGCTGTATCTCTCAGGACAGAAATGTCTGAAAAGTACTTGGCATCATCGGCTCGGTAAAAGAAAGAGGGCAACACCCTACTGGGTCGTTTCCCGGCCTCAACTAGAAAGCCAACCATCGCCTCGATCATAGGATGCATCTCTTTGGCGTAGAAGCTGTTGAAGCGAAATCCCATAGAACACAGAGCAAGCGTGTCAAGAGCTAAACGGGTGAAATCCTCGGATGCTGGTATAGGGGTGTTTGAGCCATATCGGGCAAACTTCAACGCCATTTGGGATGCAACATCGTGCATTTCATCGAACATGCCACGAATCGACAACGGGCCGAACCTATGAGATGTCAGTATATTGGCCAGTTTCTAGTCGTACAGCAACAGTTCCTCAGAATATCGAGGTAGGAAGAAAATTGCGAGATACAAGAGACGTACTAGGCTCTGGTCAGTATACACATCAAGGAAACCAGAAACCAGTTAGAGCTGGAACGACTTACCGCTGGCATCAATACTCTGTGAGCAATACCCCAAGCCTCCTCTCCTGGTTTCGCCTATATGGGCCGTTAGCCTCTGGACGATCATGACTGTGAATCCGAAGAAACTCACAGTGAAAAGCCCATCGTGTACTCCGTGTCGGATTTCCTAGACATCAAATGAGCCCCAAGCAATGTTAGTCTATCATCAAGACGACGAACCTCAAGCACTCCGTTCGGTATCTTAGTGAACCGTTTCTCGTCGCACAGCTCATTGATGAGTCGATGACTGTTGGCAAAGACTATGGTCCTCCCACCAGGAAGGTATATACGGTACGTTTCGCCTATTGTACGAATTTAGAGATTGTTTCATGCCAATGGTGCTCCATCCTTTGTTCACTAGGCCATCTCTACTTACCATATTTGTCGCCAAATTCAACAAAAGAGCGCAGTGAATTCACAGGGTCAATCTGCGTAGCGTTGCCAACTAGGGGCAAGGCCGGTGGCGAGGGTATGGGTGTTATGGTCGACATCTCCTTGACACTCGATGCTTGGGGTTGAGTGAATCAATGTATTGAGCTTGAGAAAAGATAAGGGCGAAAGCTACTGATCATATATGAAATTCTTAACCAGCATCGAAGGCGAGCTTCGCTTGGCGCATAAACCTTACTTTGACTCGACGCCTCACCCGACCGTCCGTCTCAGCTCGGCTCACACTGCCATGTGGGTCATGATCTTCATGTACCGTAAGTAATGGGCGAGATGGGTAACGTATCGGAGCAACAGTTGATCCCGTTAGTGGCACCGGTGGGTGTTTGTCGTCGGCCTCGCGTATCATAAGCGGCGGAAGCTAATTGCCTTCTAGATTAGTAACGCTATAGTGCACACGGTGAGAATAGGATAGCTAGAATCATGTTGGATGAACCGAGGATTGATCCACTCAGCTGCCGCACGATATCTAGCAATGGCATTATACCAAGCTCTATGAATTGCCATGTGCCTAGGCACCCCTATTATCCCATAATTTCTTCATAGGACTGCTTGAGAAGCCGAGGCAGAGGTCCTCTTGTCCCACGCCTGCCCTTCCAACGGTTGCCGACCATTATTACCACATACCTATGTCAAAGACAGAAACTAAAACCAATCGAGGGATGGCCCACTCGGCGCCGCCGACCGTTTGACAGTTGGTGACGTACCCTATTCTAGTGTAGTGTAGGCTCCCATGTTGCTGGATCTTATCTGCCATCTTTTCCGAACCAACGACCCTTGAAATTATTCAAGGCGAATGATGAACCACATACTATGTAATACCATCTTTATCCATACACCGCCATCATAAAGCAATTCTTGCTTAGGGCTAATTGGTGTACCCAGTTACTGTGATTCCTCGCGCTTGACGGGGACTATCAAGCGTCCGTTTCCACCAGCATGAGAAGTCTCCGCAGAAGCTCCGTCGGTCCAATTCAAGACCCCTTGGCCATCAGCACACAAGTCACACATGAAGAAGCATATGGTCAACTCCAATCTGCTCCAACCCTGTTCCAACCAAGTTTAGCGATCGACCAACATTCAAGGTATCATGATGGCAATTGTAGAATAGGTACTGAAATATGCATCCTTGCCTAGATAGAATCTAGACCAAATGTTTGATATATTGAAGCGTTATCATTGGTGCTTACTCATTCCATGAAGATTGGTGCGGAATTGGGATACCTATGAAAGACCCGGCATGGTGAGTATGCAAATCGTGTGATCCCTGTGGATGCTACCAAGTTGCATTGCTAGCGTGCTTCTGCCAGAATTTCTGGGTTACATCTTAATGCGTAGTACCTTTGGCAGTGAAAAAAATATCGATACCTCCCTAAGGGTGATGCACGTAACCTCTTTTCACATCCGAAAGCTCGTGTTCTCTCTACCAATGAACTGCAGCACTACGTACACCTCGATGGCAAGATGAACTGTTATCCCAAAAGCAACCCTACGATTTGTGCCCGAAGCCTAGGGGCCGTTAAACGAAACGAATTACGTGCTCGAAACTGCATAAGTAGGTACTTTATGCTTAGAGACTTGAGACAACATAGCTCAAGCAACTTGACAAGAATGAGGTCTCACGTGATGATCATTGCCGCGTTACCGCGGTGTATCTGCCAACTAAATACGGTGTCGAATACTGATTGAAGAGCTTCAACGTGCGCAATGATTGTACCGGTAGGCAGCTTTCCGCCGGCGACGGCGCAATCGGACTCCGTAACCCGCTCAGGTCGGGAAACGGGAAACGCGAGACGGGAAAGGGGTTTGTTCAACGACCATGGTCGCCAAGATCGTTAAAACAACTATGTTGCGAACAGCGCAGGCTATATTATCTTGACATTGAAAATTCATCAGAAGAGAACGACTGCTCCTACTATAAGCCTACATGTGGGGTACCTCGGATGACAGTTCGGCCAATCAAGATTGCTGTGATAGTTAAGTATGACCAAGCTATTTTAAAAGTCTCGCTCTCGGTTTCGTTTCTGTCCGTGTATCAATCAACCCATGTCTATTTGAGCACCCTTTCGAAATAAAGCTGCCCCCCAGGCGTCAACTTTAAGGAGATAACCCAGAATTCTCCAGGCGGCTCACGGATAGTTTCTTAGCCGAATAAATATAGATGGTCCGTCCGCTTCGGAATCCGCGGGTTCACATGTAAGTGAAATTTCGGAAGCTTGGCTTTCCGCACCTGTGAGAACTGCAACCGGGGGCCTACCATATGATAGCTGATACCAGACGAAGACTCCGAAGTCACTATATCAGGGCTATATACAGAGTGCCTCTTTGTCTGTAGCCCTAGGATCGTAACAGCACCCATAGTGAGTATATTGCTCACGAGATCCTTACTCCACGCCGGATGAATCTTGTCCGACTCGCATAAAAGATATCCGTGTGCGGCACCTTTGTAAACACGCAGACAACGTCAAAGAATCTGACATGAGACGCGCGTGACAACATTTTGCGACGTACGCAACGAGACCCCCTAATACCTCATAAGGGATAAGACATACAGGTCGTATTAAAGCAAGGCTATCCAGCCGTCGCTTATCTGAGACATATTGATGTGTCTCAGAGACGACCAAGCCCTAGTCCAATTGTATACAAAGCTAAGCTCCACCACGGATTCATTGCGAATAGCTTCAATCAAAGCCTTGACCTCAATCTGCCACGATCTTAAGTATAAATGACTCTTGTTGTTGCGCGAATTATACATGTAATCATCGTAATAACCGCTAATATACTATTTACAAAGCGCCCTCTTTGTCACATAAGGGATATCTTATGCTACGATACAAGGGGGTAGACAAAATTTGTGACAAGTAACCTACTTCGAAACAATCGTGATGAAGGTATCACAAACGCCAACTCTGGGTATAATAAAAGTCATAAGACTAAAATCCGATATTGTAGGGAACCAGCATGAGGGCTAGTGTAGTAGTCTAGGTTGCTTACCTCTGAGTGAGGGCAACTGCGCTGCTTATAAACAAGATAATAGGAAAAGAGTGATGATGTTGGCATCCGCTCTTACACAAGCGTGCTTAATTGCATAGAAAGATGGCATTCCATGCTTGATTTGATCTGCTGTATTCTAAATATCTCAATTTTACCCGTGCGTCATAGAGTTGGACAGCAAGACACGTTGGTACTGCTTTATATTAGGTTCAGATATAGGAGACAGATTATCGATACTCATAGCATTCGTTTTACTCTATGCCATAAACACGATCTCACAAAGAGCCCTCAATCGCAGCCCAGAAGGCCTCGGGATCTTCACACATAGGCAAATGGCCGGCCTGAGGCACAATAGCCAGCTCCGCACCCTGCTGTCCCAGCTGTCCCCTGAAGCCATCCATAGCCTTGACCAAAGCGCCCTTCGCATCGCCCTCGCCGACCACGAATAACCCAGGGACAGCGCAATCTTTCATCTGCGCCTTCATGTCGTAGTCCCAGAGCGCCTGGCACCCGTACCGGAAGCCTTCGATATCGTTCTCGGCAACCATGTCCTGGATCCACGCCACCGTGTCCTGCTTCTGCATCGTGGCGGGGTGGAACCAACGCTCCACTGTCTGCCCGGCGAGCTTCTTGATGCCCGCGGAGCCGTCCTCGAGGGGCGTCTCGGCGATGCTGATGCGCTCCTTCCAGGCGGTCGTGTTGGCGGGGCTGGAGGCGGCGTTGAAGTCGCAGGCGATGAATTTACCTAGCTTCTCGGGGTATTTGAGGGCGAATTTTAGGGTCGTGGCGCCGCCCATGGAGACGCCGATGAGAGTGTCTAGCTTGGGTATCCGGAGTGCGGCTAATAGGGCGCTGATGTCGTCGGCTAGGATGTCTAACGTCGACGGCTGTGGCGGAGACGGTATTGAGTGTCGTCCGCGGAAGTCGTACCGCAGAATGCGGTATTGTGGCCGCTTGGCCTTGAAAATCTCGATGAATCGATCCCACATGCGCAGAGACGTGAGCAGCGAGTTGCAGAATGCGACTGTTGGTGCCTTCGGATCGGGGCTTCCTTCTAATCTGTAGGGAATGGTGAGGCCATCGGGAGTCTGGATGAATGACTCGATCACGGGTGAAGGGTCATTCGTAGTGAAAGTCCGACCGTCTGGTGATTTGAAGGTAGATTTGGATGGTGGGAGTTTGGATAGGTTTTGCAGGTCACGGGATCCTGCGCCAAAGACATAGAAGAGAGAGTACTCTCTCCGCGAGATCCTGGTGGCATACTTTGCGTAGACCTCCTTAGTTCGGGGCGTCTGTATGGCTGCCTCATACTCCGGGCCTCCGAGTCCATTGTCTTTTGTATATTCGTGCAGGCCTATGAACTTGGTCGGCTCTCCTTTCTCTAAACTCGAGATCCTGAAGACCCGCGATCGCAGCCAGCCGGGTACTTTGGAGAGCATCTCCATATGGTCTTCTTTGTACCAGCTTATGATCCGTTCTTCCGCATTGTCCACGTCGTGAGGCTTCAGCTGAACGGCCACTAAATGGATGCCCTCTGCTTCCTCGTCGGTCAACTGCTCAATGGGTATGAATAACGGTGATTGCTTGGTATGAACTAGATCCCAGAAGTATCGCGTCACGTCGACTTGGCCAATGGTCTCAGCCTCGCGCGCAGACCTATTAGCTCGAAGAGTAGTGTATGCCTCGGTCTCTAAGAGGGGCATAGACGTGACGTCGTAAGTCGCTAGAAAGGTTGGCTCCTCGCCGTCCTTGGCCTGGTATCTAAGACCGTTGGTGAAGATTTGCGGAAGTTTCAGTCGGGTTGGGCCGTGCTCATTGTTATACCATTCATGAAATTGCTCAAGCGGTAGCCCCGGCTTTGGTTGCATGGTCACGTAGAGATTTCCCGGCGTCGCCATGGTTCTTGTCGCAGCTGCTTCACGCTTCACCTTGGGAAAATGAAATACTACTACTGAACCAGTACGATGGAATCAAGCGAAGATTTACTTCTAAATTTGGATTTTCAATGTTTCTTGGTGTGAAAGACGCAAAAGATCCCTCAGGTTAGAAGACCAAGGCACATGTGATGGCAGCGCGGGGTTCTACGATAGGTGTGGTTTGTTCTTACCCGCAAACGACAAGAGCGGGTAAATGCTTTCCCCTCATGACGAACAGCAGTCGGGTTTCCTCGACTTGTATAAATGATGCTTAGTTGCAGACCCAGTCATACTGCTTTTCTAGCTTGATGGCCTAGCGATGCGCGCCGTAGAAAAGGCCGCAGTTGATTTCGATGATAGGCATCGTCATGCGGCGCCTTGCTCGTCATCCGTCCGGTTGAGACCCGGGATCGGCATTGCGCTTCGGCAATTATCGGGTTTTGATTTCGGAAAATTACACGCGCAGCATGAACTTCAAGTTGTTATTCAATCCATTACATACCTTAACGAGCAATATAATTATCCTATATCTCCTATATCTTTCTTTCCCCCTTCTCCTATCGTATGTCGACGCCCGTATTCAGGGCATGTTTTTGACCGAGATGAGCGATGATGAACCGCTGGTCCGATAGCGCTTGTGGGCTTTCGGAACCAGAGATCATAAACCGATGCCATGGCATGAGCAGCCCTGGAGGTGCGTCTCTATTTATGGACGATCATAACTGAGGCGAACGGTGCAATGTGACATTAGACATCTTGCCGAAGCACCTGAGACAGATTCTGAGACTTACTGATTTTAATCAGAAAGATCTTCCCATATGGGCCCCTTCACACCCTGGTATGAAGATTTTACGGAAAGACTGAAGCTAAGCCCAGCGGATCATTACCTGCAGACTACCGGGTTCCTGGGACCCTGAGCCCTGGTGTTGCAGCGTGCTAGCGGATCGATTCCCGATCCTCCAGCTTACCTAACCTACCTTCTACTTCGTAAGGAGGTATATGGGGAATATAGCTGGTCATACTGTTTTACTTGGTCGGGCGGCTGGGCGGCCAAAAGTCCCGATAGCTATCCAGCTGGGGCTGTCAAGTTCTAGCCTCACATCATGCTGCGTACTTGACACCCCTCATAAGTATGTTCGCGGCACCTCGTCCCACCTTTCAACTTGATCCATGCTCTCAGGAGTTTGACGCGATGGGTCACGCCTCCTTTCTCCGTAGCTCTATACCATCTCGGTAGAGCCCAGCGTATTGGGTCTGCCGAAGGCACATGTCATGTGCAAGGCATTCTCCGGCCTGGACGACGTGTGGTGAATCCGGGTTTGCTCTCCGTCACGCAATCCTTAGTGAATGTAACTCTCAACCTTCCGAGCTCTGATATGACGCTTCTAGGATACAGGGAGACGTGGTGGCGCCTCTCTATACTTGGCGTATCGGAGCTCGCGCCACCGTCGTTCTGCTTTCGCTCAGTGTGAGCATTATCTTGGCCGAGTGAAAAGCGGCGAACTACACGTGTATATCGCGTCATCACGCGCCTGTGATGCACTCCATCTTCTAACAGGCAGCTCCTTCTCGCTATCTACTACCCCGCCTTGACGGGTTGCATCTGTCAGCTAGCAGCCCTGGGATATCAGACCAATACTTTGCTCTGGTGAACCATACATCCTGGATCTAGATCCGAAAGAACCCCTTTCGAAGGCCGATTGCCTCACGAGCTGATACGACGGTGTGTGAACCCCCACACCTTGTTGTCGAGCCCTGATACTATTTTAAGCGTGATGTTTCATTTGAGGTGTACCATTGATGGCTCTGGGATGTGTTCTGACTGTCACTGGCCGATATCTCATGATATCTTATAGGTTCAATGGGTTATCTCTCGCCTATCCTATGCTGCCTTAGAAGACCCCCCTGGATACTCTTCAAGTATGGTTTGTCGTATATGTTGAAGGCAACGGCGGTATGATAAGGGGAACAAGTGACTACAAGGGCCTCACAGAACCGTTACCGGTAGCGAAGTACATTCCCTTTTTGGCCTCATTGTGACTTGCCTATATTTGCTAGTGATCGACACCTAGAGGTATGTCTCTATTGGCGTAGCGGCGATAAACCTATATCGGTCGGTATTCCGGATACCAGTACACTTATTGCCACTATCAGTTATACGGCCTCTTCATCCGGCAGGATATGGATATGGTTCCGCTCGTACTGATGAATACTTATGTAGCAGCAACTTTGCTGGTTGATGTTTTCATTACAACATCAGTATGTACGCAGTTTTCATCAGAAGCGGCCCCTGCCTGCGTTATCGCATGCTTACCTAGGTAGTCAAGGTAGAATCTTGTCCCAAAACTTGAAGACGTAATATGCGAGACAAATCGGTGATGTAATACGAAGTTTCACGAGTGGCCTTCCAATGCGTCAAGATCCCGAAAGGGTGGTTCGAAGAGAGAGAGAGAGAGAGAGAGAGAGAGAGAGAGAGAGTCTATGTTACTGCAGTAACAACATTCGTATGGTCTTGTACCTCTTTGGAAGTTTCTGGATTGTAGGGCTAGCATAGGTCCATCCTGAACCCATCAGCCTCGTAACCTCCAAGGACCACTTGATGTTAGCGAGGGCGAAATAGCCGCATGCAAAATTCTGCCAGTATCAAGACTGTTTTCCTACCTTTCTCTAATCGAGTTTCGCCTTCAGCAAGACGCAGTATCTGATATATGCATTATATTGGCGCAGATACTATTTATTTGGTTGAGCGATAGCGATCAAATTCGCTTGTTGATTTCTGAAAGACTTGCTCCCAGCCTTTTTCAATGTCAGAAGGAAGGTAGCTAGCTATATGGTATATACAAAACATACTGCTCCTCTCCCTCTTTTCCCTTGTCCCTCCGACTCTTTATTGTGTATAGTTGTAGTATGAGTGTGTTGCTTCAGCTCATACTAAGTAGAACCGATAAATCGGCCGTTGCGAGAGTGTATTCCATATTCCATATTCCATCCGGTCCTATCCGGTCCCATCCCATACCATCTTGCCGTATGCATATGCAATGTAGATATCTCTCCATTGAGGTTATTCAACCCAAACCGTTTCCACATCTCGATACGCACGCCAACTATGACGAATGAGAAAGAATGGCTTGGCAGGCACGCCGAGAGCACTTGCCTTCTTGACGAACTGCTACCTCGTTCGCTAACGCGGAAGGCAGCTCCTTCCCCGCCTCGAGATTTCCCATTTGAACTTCCCTCGCCTTCTACCTTTCTTTCTCATTCTCCTTCGGCATAGATGTAGATGTAGACATGGATGAAGATGAGGACACGGAGCCGTTCTTTTCCTTCCCTTTCCCGGTGTCCTTCTCACTCGCAGGGGCATCTTTGATGCTATCTTTCTCCTTTTCTTTTTCTCTTTCCCGCGACGTAGACACTGGACTACTCGCTCGAGTCGGCATGTAGAAGTCATAACGGTCAGGAAACAAGATGATGTTGGCGAGCCGCACGACTTCAGACTCAGCGCGCGAACTCCCTGATGAGGCAGATGCCGGGCTATCTGTTGTCCCGTCTTCTTCCATTATCATGTCCACATCCTTCTTGTCCTCTATCGGCGTGCTGCTGCTGCTGCTTGGCTTCTCTTCCGGTGCCAATGACGACGTGGATGCCTTATTTGCCCGCAGTGTCCACGGCGCGAGCCCCATCGCCCGTAGCCCTTCTTCGCCACCGACCTCGCGGATCTCCTTTTCACCTAGCCGTCCCGTATGCGGCGCTTCGCTGCCGAGTCCAGTTCCTGTGGAGTCAAAGTCTGGTCCAGGATGGCCGCGCAGGAATGCCTTACGTTGGCGGGCGAGAAACAGTGCATTCGTCTGTGTAAGTGGCGCCGCCGGAGAGTACACAAGCATTGAGGTACGCAAGCCCGTGTCATTCTTAGATTCGGTGCTACCGTTATCACGGTAGTTGGTATTGGAGAATTGATATGCCTGGTCCGGATGCCAAACGATGTAGTCACCAGCCCGTAATGTCGGAGGGGTTACGAGGCTCTTATCGAGCTGTAGATGGGGATGCCACGCCGCTGTGACGCGCTGCGCATGGCCCGGGACCGCACCGTGTATTATCGTTGTCTGCTCCTTGTCAAGCGCCCAATTGGACGGATCCAGGTACTTCTCCCATTTCTCAGCACTATCGCCCGATTCGGGCGCCGGCTCCTTGGGCGAAAAGAACGGTCGCAGGAGAAAGTAAACTGTCGACAACTTCGGTGAGGGGAGCAGGCGGATCATGCCGGGCTCGACCACTGTCAGCGCCAGTATACCCTGGAACATGCGCATCATTGAACATGCTCCTGCGCCGTTGTACAGATCCGAAGTAGCGTTAACACGTCCCGCCGGATCCCACGGGTTATATGCCTCCCATTTCCCCTTGAAGATATCATCGTAGAGTCCACAACGCCCATATCCATCTAATTCCCACCTTTCTAGGCTTCCGTTATCGACTTGTGCAATCGACGCGTTCGAGGCCGCGGCTGCAGCCGCGATAAGGCTATCTTCAGGAGTGGTGGGAGCTGCCGCCACACCGTTGACTGTAACAATACCGTTGTTGGTAGACTCTATTCTAATGCGGTCTGCATACGTGATCGGAAATCTCGTCGCTAGTCGGTCGTCGTCATTGCAATTCCACAGTGACATTGCAAATCGCTGAGCCCGCAGCATGTTGGGATGTGCACGTGAGCGTACCTGTGCGGGCGTCCAGAAGAAGTCAAAACAAGTTGGATCCTGTGCCGGAGGCGGCTTGAAGTCATGCTTCGTCTCCAAATACTTTTTAGTCTCCTCCACCCAGTTGCTTGCATCTTCTGGTGATACCACTCCGCGGATAACACCAATTCCATGGCGCTTCAAGCTGGCTTCAAACGGCTCAACCTTGGCCGTGTCGTTAATCTCGTTAAAATCAATTGAGGGAATTAGTCCTGTGCGGTGCTCATCTATGTATTTGATTTCGTCACGCAGTGCTGTAATCAGGCGACCCCACGACGCCTCAAGTGTGGACTCGTGTCCTGCGACTAGTCGCTTCTTGAGACTCGCAAATCGCGAGGGCAAGGGGACGGGCTGCGTGCCGTAAAAAGATAAAACTGGAGGCTCCATGCTGTTTTTCAAGAAAACTGGCCGTTGTCTGCTTTTTGCGATTCTGCCGTCTCTGTGATCGGTTGATCGCGGGCGTTTTGTACCATTTGTTCTAGACTGAGAATGCGCTATTGTTACGTGTTTTGTGTCTGTTGATGGCAGCGATTGCTGTGACCCCCCTGTCGTCGGTATCGTTGCTGTTGTTGTTGCCTTTGCCGTTATTGTCGTCGCTGGCGGTCGCCCAGAGACGGTGGAATTTGCAGTTGTCGTCGCTGTCGCTGTCGTCGTCGCAGTTGATGCAGCAGTTGTCGCTACAGTGGCGACAGCAGCAGCGGCAGCCATGGCGCTCTCTAGTGAGGGGACCGGCGTCGCTGTGCCTGGGTGCTGCACCACGTCTACCTTGGACATCTCAACCGTTTTCCCTTGCACGCCCTGTGTCTTCTGACCTTTTCTATTACTACAGCGTCTGGCTCGGCCATTCAGATCCCGTTCCCTAGCACTCAATGCGCTGGGGCAGCGCGGGGTTCCCAGCACTAATAAATATGGCAGGACGCATAGGCTTGGTTTGGATAGGTTCAGAGAATGACCCCTGCGAGTGGGCAACGTGGGAGGATATGGGCATGGGGACCCCGGGAGCTAAACAGGCCCACCAGTTGCGGTACCCCGGCCCGATGAGGCTTGCTGGTTGCGCATTCTTTGATTGACATGCCGGCTCGCTGCTCCGTGGGCTTGCCTGGGCCGTGAGGAGGCAGCGAGGGGCACTCTGACGGTCCGTCTCACTCGAGACAGCACAAGACAGAGTAGCAACGCAGGCTCCTGACACCCGGCTACCCAAACACTAGTTCATGCTAACAAGACGAATAAATTGCCCTATGCTGCCTCTCCCCGCTAGCATCCGGAGCCCATTATCGAGCTAGGGTGCCCGTCAAGAGCAGCCGGCATGTCTCTATCCTTTGCGATTGGTCGGGATTTTTCTCAAGTAATTCTCCGTAAATGCCAGCCCGGCCCATAGGGGTAGTTTCTGCTAGGTTAGCATCGTTCAACGGAGGATGCGAATTAGGACAATGCCTAAAGATTACTAAGAAGGGAAACGTTTGATCCAGCTGTCCTCTATCGTCTGACATCTTTATTGGACCACACCGAATCGCATATCCGTATATCAGAATATACACAAGATGATGAAACCAACGCTCATCGCATCTCGGGCGTTTCGTCGGCTTATCCCCTCTTACTGCTAGGGTCCTATAGGGACTAAGCGCCTGCGTCGCTTGGTCAGGTCCGTGCTGTCATGCTGCAATCGCAAGTCTATGAGGCCACGCATCAGTAATAGACAGTAGGTGTGTGGACAAGATGACAGCAGCTAGCATCGTGATATCATAAGACACCAAAATACTAGTAAACAGACTTTCCCCCTTCAATTAGCATAGCTGAGTGGGTATGTTTCGAAACCTCGCAGTTCGACCTTCGTTTCTTAGGTCAGCGCACTGCTCGATCCTCGTGGTCACCGAAGCCAAGGTAATTAATATGAGATGCTCCATCTCCAAACCCCACGTTGCGGCACTGAGGAGCGCCACTCCCTCCCAATTACAGTCATGTCAGGCATGAAAACCAGTATAGACTGAGTAACGTTACCGTATGCTACAAGTTGCCCAACTAGACAACTAAAGGGATAACTAATCATACTTACACGCGTCACATCTAACCTACTTACTGACAAAGCTATGCCTTCAGCTTTCGTCATGATTACACGGCACAGGTCGATCGATAATTAGGAAGTTAGTCTCGGGTCCGGTGTAGTTCATTTCCTTAATCCAGCAGAGATTGTCCTTGCGCCAAGTTCGGAAAACTCTGGTCGGATTCAGGGAAAATGTGCATTATGCAGCGGCATGCAGAGAAGATTGGAGATGGTTACAATCTCACATTTACCCTTTTCGGACCATCTACACTGCACGGGCTCATGATCGCTGCCAGCTGCCAAGGCTCAAATCGGAGGCTCGGCATCTGGGTCTAAATTGGCGCTGACATACAACAAGACCACCAGCTCATCGTGTTATGCCCACATTTTGTCTTCAACGCAGCCTTCTATCGTACTTGGTAGACCCAGCACGTCCTTGCGCCTTGAATATTTCAGGGGGGTTTCGGAATATTCTTAGTTATCAGGTGGACCTGTGCGCACAGATTGGTTTCGTGCGTTGCTTCCGTACTTCTGAGGCTACACGCAAGTGTCATCAAGGGTCAGACTCTATAAATGAATATCGATAGAATGCAAATATCTCGGGATACTATAGTCCGAATACTGAATAAATGCCTGACTACTTCAATAACTGATATACGAACCTAATCTTGGTCATTCTGTGCGTGGGTAGTCGGCTTCGCAAACAGTCTCACGCTTAACTCTTGTGGTTTGACTTTAACTCCTCATCCCCAAGGAAAGTCCTGACCTTTTCGTGGCTCAATGTCAAAATCCCAGAAAGTCTTTATTAATAAATCCCCTCTCAAACTATAGCCTAGACGTCGGTATATAGTTGCTAGCTGTATCGTCTAGCTAGGTAGGCGGCTAGAAACCTGCGTTACACCGACATAACCGTGTGTCCAATCCTACTTACACAATAAGCAAGGCCAAAGTCCGAACAGATCTATTTCCTAGAACGCTCCCGGGTTATATCCTAGCCCGATAACACGATATGTTCATCTATTTCCATCATCGTCACGCTCGTCACACCTAGTCGTGCCGTGCGTCTCTCACGTGCACACCCTTAGCTTGAGCTGGATATGTCTGCTTGACAGGCTGCCAGTCTTAGATGTATAAGTAGGCATGTCTACGATACCACGAACTACATCATCCGGCGAGTAAGATAAGGTAATGGACACATCCATGCCCTTGGTACGAACACTCGTAACGCTATTAGAGGCAAAGTCGGATAGACACATGTATCTGCTCATGATTACACCCAGTCCTTGACTAAAAATCAGAGAAGATCAAAGATCAAAGAATAAAAGAGAAAAAGAGGAAAAACATACTTAGTTAGTGTACATTTCTCATCTTTTTCCCTTTTTACAAGAATACCTACGAGATGATTGGTGTCCACCTCCCGCTCCGCGTAGTAGTCGATGTGGATGGACATATCCCAATCCCCATCCCTCAATCAATCAATGCCCATAAACTATCCGTGCGATATTTATCCCGTGACGGACGTAATAAGAAAAAGTAAAGCGCAGACGAACAGGACTGGGTTACAAAGACGGCTTGGAACCCCCCACACTCGCATCGCATCAGGCTTACCAATCCCAGCTCTATTACCTATTCGAGATGGATGATCGAGGTGAATTAAGCCGGGAAGGGAAGAGAGGGGACATTTGATGAGAGAGAGAGGAGACGAAGGCTGGATTAGTCCCGTAGTATACAGTCGCAGACTTGAATGCTCGTATGATTCTGGGTTATCCCATATATTACCTTTATGCAGCACCAGCTGCTGAATGAGGCCCATGCCATACCATATCTCGATGTCTCAGTTCCTCTCCTGCTTCCCAGGAGATGGCTACCTAGCTGCCGAAGCGAGTCTGAAATGACCGTCTAGTTACATTAATTACATCACACATGCCGAAACCTAAAATCTCAGCTCGAAGAGAACTTTCCGTCCCAAATTTCCCATTAATAGGTACCGCTCCATTATGTCTGCAATCACACATGCCTTCCGCTCCTGACGCCTGGGAAACCGCCGCTTAGATAAGCGGCCCCATTGGCTATATCCTTTTCCTGTATGGCCAGGTCCAGCTCTCTCAAGGCGCAGTGAGCCGCGATGACTTTGAAGCTCTCGAAATTACCAGCATTCCGCTGGTCGGAGTAGCGATCACGATTAGTTCTGACGACCCCTACACGAAGACACGCGATACTCAATTCCAGAGGAGTGAATTCGGTCCCAACTGAAGAGATGTCGTCTTTTGCCTCGTCAGAGCTACCAATTGTATCATCGTCTGTCGCATCTTCCGGATTATCTGTTGAAGACTGCATATCTTGCTTCCGAATGAGGCTCTCCACCCACTTCACGATACGATCAAAATCGTCTTTGAGCTGGATGGATGTATCGCGTTGCCGGCGTGTCTGTATGCCGGATTTATTGAAGATTGCACCGGTGAAGACTTCTAATTCAGTGATGCTCTTTGAAGCATGATCTGAGTACGTGACCGTCGCTGACCAGATAGCATCTTCGTATCTAAGGAAGGGTTAGCAGCCCACGGATACATGCTAGTAACTGAATGCTTACGCCTGGCGAATTCGTCGTGCATTATCCTTTGCCCTCTGCCAATCAACACGTCCGAAATTAGTATCACATTGTTTCTGTATATATCTGATGATCTCATCCCATAGTGAAGGGTCGGAACGGTTGCGGGGTAGATGGATGTCGTCTTTCCATATCTTCTTCTCATCAATAGCGCGGTATAGCTTGCCAAGGATCTTGATAGATCTGTAGAATCGATGCTTTGGTCCGGTATCATCGTCTTCGTCTGCGTCTGTCGACAGCACCACAGGCGGCTCAAACAGAATCTCAGTTCTGTCTACAATATTCGTAGGAGGAGCGGGTGCCAAGCTATCTTAGTGTTAGCGGGGTGTATTAAGGACCATGACATAAAAACCCACAAATCTGGACGGTCTTTCGTTCTCTTCATTGTTGCCAGTTGTCTCATGTTGACTGGTATTCCAGTCTTAGAGTAGTCGACAGCTGTAGAATGCATCTCGGCCAGGGTGGTGCATTCATCATGGACAGCACCTGCATCGTGTAGGTCCGCGAGGATCATGTGTTTTACGGCAATTACTCCTAGTCTATCGAGGAGGAAGATCAGCAATAAGGGGGGGGGGGGGGGGGGGTAGGTTTTTTTTCAAGTAAAAATACAGTGGTATTTAATTAAATTATAAAATT